AGAAGTCGGAAGATGATCAGGAGGACAAAGAACACATGGCCAACATTGGTACCATCATCAATTTGATGGCGATTGACTCTTTCAAGGTCAGCGAAGTCGGCGCCTACCTGCACTTCTTGTGGGCCAGTGTGCCGGTGCAAATCATCATTGCTGTAACACTTCTGTACCGCCTCCTGGGATTCAGCTCGTTTGCTGGAATCGTCATTATGGTCTTTATGTTGCCTATCAACCTTACGATCGCCAAACAGTTTACGAAGGTTCAAAATCGAATCCTGAAGGGGACCGATGCTCGAATTCATAGCACCAATGAGATCCTCCAGAATATTCGAATCATCAAGTATTTCGCCTGGGAGCAGCGTTTTGAAGACATCGTCAACGAGAAGCGAAAGGCGGAGCTGAAGGCTTTGCGTTTTCGGTACATTATCTGGTCTACGGCGGCAACCGTCTGGTATGGTACGCCCATCCTTATCACGTTCGCCTCATTCTTCTTGTATACAGTGGTGGAGGGAAAGAAGTTGACCCCGTCGATCGCATTCCCGGCCCTGTCAATGTTCTCTTTGCTCCGCGTCCCTCTAGACCAGTTGGCCGACATGGTGGCTCACGTTCAAGAGTCCAAGGTCTCCCTTGATCGTGTTGACACTTATTTGAATGAAGAAGAGACTCAGAAGTACCGTCAACTCGAGGAGGAGGAGTCTGATGGACAGCCACCCAAGATCGCGTTGGAAAATGCTACCCTTACCTGGGGATCTGCCCAGGGTCAGTACAAGGATGATCCGTCGGACGAGGTTGCCGAAGGTTTCCGTCTGATCAATATGGACGTGGACTTCCAGATTGGCAAACTCAACCTGATTACTGGCCCGACTGGCTCTGGAAAGACGTCACTGCTTATGGCGCTTCTCGGCGAAATGAAGCTTCTGCAAGGAAAGGTTCATTTGCCTGGAGGCACGGCTAACCGCTCGGAACTCCCGGTTGATCCTCAGACAGGTCTCATCGAAAGCGTTGCCTACTGCGCACAGGAAGCGTGGCTCGTGAATGCTACTGTCAAGGATAACATTGTGTTTGCTACCCCCTTTGATCAACGTCGATATAATGCTGTAATCAAGGCCTGTGCCTTGGAGCGGGATCTGTCAATTCTCGATGCAGGCGATCAGACCCTTGTGGGAGAAAAGGGCATCAGTCTTTCGGGAGGCCAGAAACAGAGAATATCACTTGCGCGCGCTGTGTATAGCAGAGCTCGTCACCTGCTTCTGGATGATTGTCTGAGTGCAGTTGACTCGCACACCGCTAAGCACATCTTCCGACAGGCCTTGACCGGTCCCTTGATGATGAACCGGACTTGTGTTCTGGTAACACACAATGTTGCTTTAACCGTGTTCGAAGCAGCCCATGTCATTGCTCTTGATAATGGTAAAATCATCGCCCAGGGTCCTCCAGACGAAGTGGCGGCATCTGGTGCGCTGGGTGATGAACTACTCAAATCCCGACCGACTTCCAGGACTACTACTCCTCGTCCTTCTCGCAGACCTTCGGACCATGCAGAGCAAGATGACGAATCTCTTACGAACGGAAATGCTACCAATGCCCCTAACGGAAAGGCCAAGGAGAGTTCCGACTCTAAGCTGGTAGAGTCCAAGGCTGTCGGCAGTATTAAGTTGTCTACGGTTAAGATGTATCTTCAATCGATGGGATCCTGGCGCTACTGGATCGTGGCTGTGCTTGTTTTCTGCATGCAACAACTCGGGTCTGTTTCGACTAATATTTGGATCAGACAATGGGCCAATTCTTACCAGACTGAGGAAGTCGGTGCGGATCCTGGTGACTACGCGGCGATGGCAGCCTTCAAGATCCCGTCGTTCAATGTTGGTGGTGTTCCTCGCACATCCACCTTCAGCGCACCCCAGTTTGGTACGCAGAAAGTGAACGCCAATGGCAACGGCAATGTCAACGTATCGTATTATCTCGGAGTCTACGCATTACTGGGAGTTTCTTTCGTTGCTATTTCGCTAGTAAGGGAGGGTGTCCTGTTCTGGGGTTCTCTGCACGCCTCTTTCAAGATCCACCAACGCCTGCTGAGAGCGGTCATGCATGCAAAGTTCAAGTTCTTCGATTCGACGCCCCTGGGCCAGCTGATGAATCGGTTCTCTAAGGATGTGGAATCTGTCGATCAGGAAGTCGCGCCCGTAGCGATTGGCATGCTCCATAGTCTGGCATCTGTCGTGATGATTGTTATTCTTATTTCAGTCATCACGCCCGGTTTCCTGATTGCGGGTATCTTTATCACCTTGGTTTATGTCGCCCTCGGTGCCGTCTACCTGAATGCTTCTCGCGATCTCAAACGACTTGAGTCCGTGCAGCGGAGTCCCCTGTACCAGCAATTTGGCGAGACTTTGAACGGCATTGTTACCATCCGTGCCTATGGCGATGGACCGAGATTCATCGTTGACAACCACCGTCGTATCAACGCTTACAACCGCCCCCACATTTATCTGTGGGCGAGTAATCGCTGGCTGGCACTTAGGGTCGACGTAACAGGAGCCTTGGTGTCATTCTTCACCGCTGTCTTTGTCCTGATCAACATTGGAAAGATTGATGCCGGTGCTGCTGGACTTTCGCTGACATACGCAGTCACCTTCACCGAGAACGTTCTTTGGCTCGTGCGGTTGTACTCGGAGGTTCAACAGAACATGAATTCTGTCGAACGTGTCAGGGAGTACCTCGAAGTCGAGCAAGAGGCAGATGCAGTCATTCCTGACTCTAGACCGCCGGCCAACTGGCCCAGCGGCGGCGCGGTCGACTTCGTTGGGTATACAACGCGGTATCGACCGGACCTTGACCCCGTTCTCAGGAATGTCTCGTTCAGCGTGCAACCTGGAGAGAAGGTCGGTATTGTCGGCCGCACCGGTGCTGGCAAGAGTTCGCTTGCTCTGGCACTTTTCCGTGGTCTCGAAGCTGAAAAGGGCCGCATCGTCATTGACGGCGTGGACACTAGCGCAATCGGTCTCCGTGACTTGCGAGAGTCGATTACCATCGTTCCTCAAGATCCTACTCTGTTCACAGGAACTATCCGCAGCAATCTTGACCCGTTCGATCTTTTCACCGACGAGCAGATCTTTACTGCCCTGCGACGTGTGCACCTTATCGGCCCGGGTACCTCTGGCACCGCGACCCCAATGACAACTAGTACGCTCGCAGAGCCCAGTTCCGCAACTCCCACCGGGGTCACTAGTAGCGGCATCCTGGACAACAAGAACATCTTCCTCAACTTGGATACTGCTGTCTCCGAATCCGGGTCAAACTTGTCCCAAGGCCAGCGACAACTCTTGTGTCTGGCACGTGCGCTACTCAAGAACCCGAAGGTCTTAATGATGGACGAGGCCACCGCCTCTATAGACTACAACACCGACTCCAAGATCCAGGAAACCCTCCGGGAACTCCGGGAAAGCACCATCATCACCATTGCGCACCGTCTACAGACAATCATCGACTACGACAAGGTCTTGGTCCTCGACCACGGCCGAGTCATCGAGTACGACCACCCCTGGACATTAATAAACAAGGGCGACGGCCTCTTCCGGAGCATGTGCGAAAACAGTGGGAACATGGATAGTCTTCTGGAAGGAGCCAAGAAAGCCTGGGATCATAAAAATAGTGGTAATGACTCATAGATCGCCTCCTTGCTTTAACTATTCATTCTACTATTACTAGGGACCTCATAAAAAGTTCGCACATATTGAAAAGGCCCTTGTTACACATATTTATCTATCAATCCTGTTTATTATTAACTGTGTGAAAGCTGGCGCATGGGGTATTTCTACCATTGCTATTTTATTTTCTATTCATTTCCCATTTTTCCCTTCTTCTTTTTCTCATACATTCGTTATTGTGCCTGGAGAAAAAAAAATTGCAGGCTTTACTAGTCCTATTTTGCCTTGATTCCGTGTCCCAAAATTTGCTTGACTGTGACTATATAGAGAATAAATACACTATGTTCATATAACCCGCTACCCCTCTATGCTCATAAGCGACTACATACATAAGTACCACCACAGCCACGACGTGATCCATGGACATAAGAATTAGGCAACAGTGAAAGATCAACTTGTACGAAGGGGGAACCCTCCTCCCCGAAAAGTGTAATTGTGAAGAGAGAAAATCAGCATAGAGACACCCTTCATCCACAGATAGACACGCACAAAAAATCGCCACTTCACTGCACAACCGGGCATCATGGATACTTACTGATTCATGGACCCTGCAATTACAAAAGTAAGCCAGTCACTGGACCCATTTGACTTCCGAGCTCCGAACAAAACAAGGTGTGCTTGGCATGCATGCGACCTAACCGGGAAAGGACTAGTTCGGATTAAGTTTATTTTCTTTGCCGCCGAGATCCGATCCGGGAGTGAGTGGATGACACCAGACACACGGGGATCATCATCGATTCATTCCATCGCTAGATAGTTCTAATAGTACTACGACTACGGAGTAAATAAATTGATAAATTGTCTCATCTAGAGATTAGTTCGTAATCTTGGCATTTATGTGATTTTTATCGTGTGATGAAATGAATCCCTTAACTCGCAATACAAGCCACCTCTCCCCGGTGCCAGTACCAGTAAGTAAGTAAATGAGGAAGGAGGTAGGTTAGTTGGAGTACCGCTCTTCTCCGGCCGGGACCGTCCTTGATGTATGTATGCCTGTAATTTCCCTTTTCCGTTCATATTCTTTTTTTCTGGATGATATCATTCGCTACTATGTGGAAGACACAAGACTTCCATGATATCACCACAGCAAGATAAATTGAAGATTAAACGCACAAAAGACCATGGGTCGACCGAACACCGGGTTCGAAGTTTAATGGGGAAGGGATTTCCGCAATGCCCCGGAGGAAACCGACCTATTGAATGAGAGGTAGTCTAGGCGGTGCATTGTTTGGAGGCGAAACTCTTTCTCTCTCTTTTCCTTTTCTCCCTTGTTGTATGTGAGACAAGGTTTGTCAATAGGCTTTGGCCGGGCCATGTCATGATGCAAGTGATGCAAGTCGAGGCTCCGCTTCTGTTGAGATTTTGACAGGGCCGCGCGTTTGGACAGGGCTGGATTTGCATTTCATCATATCGTTGCATTCAGTAGTTTTTTGTAAGCATGGGGTGTTGACGGAGGCTATAAGAGTAGCTCGTGTTGGTTCTTGCCGGCTGAAAGTTTCGCGGTTTTCTCTCTCGCAGGAAAGTTGATCGCGACTATTTTTATTGGATATACTAAATTTCTATCGGCTCTATAAGACAAGGAAACATCACCTGGAACATCCAATCGAAGCCAATTTACTCGGCACAATGCGCATTTTCTCCGCCTTGAACGGCCTGCTCCTGGCAGGAGCCGCCGCGGCTCAGAGCTGCTCTCTTCAGTCAAACGAATCTCAAGCCGTTAACTATGGCTACGCGCTCTCTTACTTCCTCGACCGCTTCTATTCGTCGGTTCCGGTCAATCAGACTTTCTTGAGCAGCTCCCAGAATGGCTCCAACTCGCAGTACTTCACCAACTTCCAGGGTATCCAGAGACAGAATCGCCTGGGCGTGCGTGCTGTGCAACAACTTGGCTCGAAGCTGTCTGGCTGGACCCCTCAGAATTGCAGCTTCACCTTCCCAAGTGCCAGTGACGCCGATTCCTTCGTGCAGAACGCGCTCCATTTGGAGTCAACTGTTGCTGGAGCGTACATTGCCCTGGCTGGTTACACCCAGGCCCCCGAGGCTTCGTTCTTGTGGGCTCGCTTGGCTGCTGAGCACACTGCTCACGCCTACTATATCGCGAGTCAGAACCAGACCGTCCTCTTCCCGACGAACAGCTCTTCGCTGGTGCCTGCATACAGCCCGGGTTACGTTCTTTCCAACGGTACTGGTCCCGGCCAGCTTGGCTCATACTTCCAAGGCTGCGTCACTGCTCCTCCAGTCCCGTGCGGCCAGACCTTGTTCATCGGACCTCTTACTGCCACACTCGGTGCGAACGTCTCCGCAAGCGCAGCTGCTTCAAGCTCGGCATCGCTGTCTGCATCCGCCACTCCTTCGCCCAGCTTTGCGAGGAGGTTTTTCTAGATTCGGTGCTGTATTCAATAGTGGCGCTTGGCACCATCAATGAAGTCTAGGCTTGTGTGGTATCTCGGGACAATCACTGCACTACTCGGTACAACATCGAGGAGGAGAGGTAATAATTTGGAGATGGCGTCTGTTAATAATGCCTTAATGCCCAATCCTGGATTAATGTAATTTGACAATTTATGAACTTGACGTGTAATGTATGATCGCCTGAGTAGTATATTGCCACTATATTGCACTTGTATAAAATTGTCCATATACCATGTCTAATCGTAGCACCAAGTCTCATGAGTTTATATTCATTAATGAGTTCGTAAATTCGCATATTCGGGTACACAGGCAAGCGTTGAGATTCGAAGCCCCGTCTCTCAAGCAAAGCAATGCCTCGAGAGAAGAGAGATGCTAGCGCTGATCCTGATGACGTGGAATTAGCAAGACACATAAGTCTACTTAGCATTGGAAGTGCTATACTCAGCACCTACCTCGCTCCAAATGAGAATCATGCTCCACTTTCACGTTAGTCGCGAAGGCATAGGACAGAACCTGAGGTGCCACATGGTGCAACTTCACACCAGAGCTTTGGGCAACGCACCCGTGGAAAAGCACCCGCTTTTATGTAGGTAAGAGGATGTTTATCCGTTGTATGGTGATTTAAGAGAATATTGGGTTCGAACCGAGAACGTGTTCTTGTCTAACCGGGTTGAATAAATGCGAGATACCGCTCTAGGCTCTCCCCAAGTACGTTGATGAATGGCCACTGGGTATTCTTCCGAAAGAGTCGAGCCCAAAGCTTGATGACAGCCAATCCAAGACTTCCGGGATCCTGGCTAGGGAACGATTCCCCGTCTTCAAGATCCATTGATTCGTAAGCTTCTTGTACAATGCAACGTGTCCAATGTAATATCCGATTCTCGTTCTCTAAAGTCCATATTCATGTTAGCAAGCCCTCGATCGTTGTTGGAGCCTGTATTCTTTGAGGGGGATTCATACCGCTCAAGGCTTGGCTGCTGCCAGTTTCAGCCAGGGACATAAGCCATTTGCTGAGAAGAACAGCGCACTCTAGACTAGCAAGTGAGTGACGCACACTCCAGAAGAAGGCTTGACTGCGCGCCACGTGGTCAATACCCAGGCGTACGGGAATGCTCAGCGCGTGTGCAGAATAAATGAGGGCAGGTGTCAACCTATAGCTCCTTCCTGGTCGCGGCGATCTGTGTATCGCGGTGGCAATACGATATGGATCCCGTGTCTCCAACTGACGATGCGGTCCAAGATTGAGAGACAAGCGGACATATGCCAAACCCAAGAGTGAACTGGATGTGAACGGAATTGGCCCATTCTCATTATGTGGGTCAAGACTAGATTCGGGGGCTTGTTGCCAGACTGAAGTCCAGGACCGGAGTGCTCTCCTAATCAGACCCGTCAACCGTTAGTCATGTTCGGTCAGGAGGGTAGCTCAAATGCGGATTTGCTAGACAGAAGAACTCACTCTAACTTATTCAACTCCTCGGTCGGAAGTGAGAATGACTGATCCCCATTCGGAATAGATAGCTCGCTCACAAGATGAATGCGTTGAAGTAGGCCATGAAGCAGAATATAATTACCCAAAGGCGCAGGGATCGGATCTAGAAGTACTGGATTTCGTGAAGGTTGCAGCAATAGTGCCAAAGCATCCTGAAAAAATAGTTGCTGAGAGTCCACCTCCTTTTGAGCGGCCTCCCAGTCGTGGGCTGTGGCGGCTTTCCATTCCGGCGTGGAACACGGGAGACGCAGATGCACTTCGCTACTGCGGAGTACCGGGTAAATGTTGTATGCGATACTATGAACGTGAACGAAGCAAAAGGATATGAATCGAGTGCGTCTTATGGATTCCTCTTCGGCCCATTCATGCCACTGCAGAGGAGAATGCCGTGGGGCAACTGTAATGTTCTCCATGAGCCCGAGTTCTCGCAAGCACCTAACGAGCAGATTCTGTAGGCCAAACGCTTCTTGAACAAGCTCAGCCTTCTCCCATGTAGAGTACCCCATCAAAGCTAACAGGGTGCGAATAGTCTCAATTCTCCTCCAAGCGTTCATTCCTGCGGCAAACTCTGGCGACGAGAGTAACGGATCCTGGCCCGAGCGCTGAGATGAGTCCCGGATACTGTTCAATGGTATCTGGAGGATTGAATTGAAGGGTGGTAAACTTGACTCCTTCGACAGTCGGTATAATACTATCGCCTTGGCTGCATAAAAGAGTCTCTCAGCATTACGGTGCTCGAAGCGATATTGAGCGCCTATTGTCATGAGAGCTAGAATGAGCTCTGGAGCTCTGTCGTTGACCCGGAATGTCGGTACATGGAGAAAAGGAAGATGCGTATGGAAGCCAGAAAAGAAGGAAGTCAAGTATCTGGTCAACGTATGACGCGAAGGTAAGACAAAATCTGGTATGAGATAACGGAACTCGTCCAAGGAGGCCGCCAGACGCTGCCGCTGCTCCTCTGTAACTTTGAGCGATATTGGACTCTTGCTAATTTGAGGAGGCTCTATATACTAGTTAGTACAAGGGTCCGGCTGTGATGTCTCTTTGAGGTCTTTAAATGCTCATACCGTAGTCAGATACAGATGCGAAGCTCTGGTCTCCTGGAGGTACGGACGGCAACCACGACCGGAAGGGCGAGTCGGCCCGTGACCTCTCAGACTGGCGCGGACGCGATGAGGATTCGTGTTGTTCCCCAGAACTTCTGCTGAACTCGGGTTGTTCAGTTGAAACGGGGTTTTGAATCTGAGACATGTCCCCAAATGCTGGCACCCACTCTGACGGGAGACCAATCGAGTCCAGAAAATGCGTGAAATCCTGGAAATGATTCAGCTCCTCATGTAGGTAAGGGATTGGTTGGGCTGATAGCATGTTAGCCGTGCGCGCTTCCCAAAGGGATGAGAAGCTCATTACCTGGAGGTGGTGCATGTCGGTAATTGCCCGGAAGAAGCAGCTGTGCAGCTTCCAAAATCTCCGCATCGTGACCGACTGCGCCAGCATGCGCACCAAGTTCACCTGCACTACTAGTCCCCGTATTTATAACAGCATTGCGATCCTGCTCAATGTATGGCCCACGTTGAGGTCCTGCCCACTGTTCTGCAATGGGCGGCATGGGGATCGGAACATCTGGACGCGGTGTTGGTTGAACATTGTTATAGTGGGGTGGAATAGTGGTAGGCTCTGAAGTCCCGGCTCTATTGGCATGGTCCAAGGCTTCGTGATCCGGTTGCGAATTCGGCGAAACCAGACCACTGGTACTTTGATGTGCAATGGTTGTGTGTCGCTTCAACAGATCTCGTCGGGTGAATGCGGAGCCACAGAAGCATATATACGGTTTTTCTTTGGTGTCTAAAGGTGCACAGGGCCTGAGCTTAGCATGCGGGATTAATCTAGACAATGCAAGGGATCCAGACACCACTGGACTAGCTGGAATTGTTCAAAGATGATGCGATGCGACTTACGTGTGCGAACATGTCGCTCCAAATGTTCCGTCCTTCTGAAACTGCGCCCGCAATGGACACAAACCCGAGTTTTTGCTCCAGCACTCGAGCGACGAGAGCCCCGAGAAGGTTGTGAAGGAGACTGGGACAGCATCAAGTCATTTGGAGGCGAAGGAATGACCGGAGTATACAGATAAGATGTCACGACCTCTCCAATTGGAGACACCAGGTACTAGGGGAGAGGAGACTAGCTGTGGAGGATGGTGAGGAAAGAAAAGGAAATGAGTGAGTGACTCCAACCGACGGTGCCGAATCGGCTGCCCCCAACGCCACTTTGGGAGAGTTGACCCCACTTGCCCGATAAGCTGTCTTTCTCCAACCCGGTCGGTCAGCTGTTGCTTGCTGAGAAAGGATGTACTTAATATATATTGTCAACATCATCATGAGACCACTGCGCGATGACTGTCTCGACTTCAGTGTCTTGTTTCAATTCTCTTGTTCACGATAATCGTTGCCCGCGGATATGACGCCAACTTGGACCTTTCCGGGAGTTGCCGTTGTCACAGGAGCCGGTGGTACAGGTATACCTTCGTAAAAGTCTATCGTGGGGAATTAAAAAAGCAAAAATTAACGGCTTTGCAGGCATCGGTGCAGCCACAGCAAAAGCGTTTGCTTCGGCAGGATGTGAAAGAATTGCAATTACGGATCTCAATCCTGCCTCTTTAGATCAGACCCGGGAGGCTATCCTCGCTTCCTGCCCTCAGACCCGTCTTCTAGTTAAGGCGGGCGACATATCCGATGAGAGCTTTGTCGAGTCATTCATCAGTGAGGTGGTAGATGCCTTTGGACGGCTAGATTATGCGGTCAATTGCGCCGGAATCCTAGGAGACGCCATGCGAACGACCGAGACATCAACGGCGGTATTTGACCATATCAACAACATCAATTATCGGGGTGCTTGGTTCTGTTCTAGAGCAGAGTTGAGACAAATGGTAGCACAAGATCCCTTACCGAGCCATGATCCGAATCGCGCTCCTCAGCGAGGGGCTATTGTGAACGTTGCAAGTCAGCTGGGAATTGTGGGACGTCCTAGTGCTCGTAAGTCCGATCTTTCTCCTATTGCCCAATTCTTCAGTCAACGCTCTTTGGTGTGAGCTAACTGCGTCGGATTTGCTTCTAGCTGCGTATTGTAGCTCCAAGGCTGCTGTCATTGCAATGACCCGCTCCGATGCGATCGACTATTCTGCGGACGGCATCCGTGTAAATTGTGTTTGTCCGGGTGTAATTGAGACCCCGATGACAACGTACAGCGAGGAAATTCGCGAGCACTTTCAGCCAGCAGTTGAAATTGCTCCGATGAAGAGAATGGGGAAGCCAGAAGAGGTGGCAGATTCCATACTTTTCTTGTGTTCGACTCTTGCCTCGTTTGTGCAAGGGCATGCGCTTGTTGTCGACGGAGGGTATATAATCAACTGAATAAGAGGGGCTTCCTCACTCATGATAATGTCAATAATAAAGAATGAATTGAATTGAACAACATATCCGGTGTCATTAGCATTCCGCACGCGAGAGGAGATCGCAGGGTTTCCCAGCTGCTTGCTAGGTAATGAGTCTCATGTGTTTGAATACTATGACGGACATGACGGCAAGTTTCCTGCAATATATAGCAGTCGCAATGGAGGTTCGTCACCTAGACTAACTTCTATAAAATTCTATCTCTAGTGTACTGTGTTTATCAATTACTCGCCACCTTTTTCCAATCGTTGTTTGTCTCCCATGCATATCCCGCCTTGAGTACTTTGTGTTCCTGCCACAACCCTCCGACGATCTGCATACCGACCGGGAGCTTGATCTGAGGATCATCCTTGGCCGGAGCATACCCCACTGGTATAGACATCGCTGGGTGCCCCGTAACATCAAAGATTGCCGTGTTGATTGTCAAGCCCATGCTAGGCTTCAGAGACTCGACCGGTAGGCCTCGCGCACCATGTCTCGGTGCAACAACAGGAGTGGTCGGCATTACAACCACGTCATACTTCTGGAGAAGATCCTCGTAAAGGTCCCGAAGCCTTCGGCCAATATTTACCGATTTGCCGTACAAGTCCGGAAAGCGTGAGGTAAGATAGAGGCCATTTATAATAACGTTCTTAGTGGCTGGAAAGGCTCTTTGGAAGCCTTCCTTCGTCCACGGGAGTCTTTCACGCTCCATCTCCGTCATGTAAAGCCCCCTTCTACCATGTGCCTGTCCAAGCAGCGTCAAAGAGCCTGAGACACGCTGCTGAATGGTCCAGATAGCAGGCCCATGGTAATGGTCTGGAAGGGATACTTCCTCGACTGTTGCGCCAAGCTCCGTGAACTTCTGAATGGCCGCCATGACCGACTCTTTGACCGCGGGGTCCACGGTGCTGTGTTCAAATCCTTCCTTCAAGACTCCAATTTTGAAACCATCGAGCCTTGTAGCCTCAGCCTGAAGCGACTTGGCGAACGAGGTAGAGCCGTGTTTAGGACTCCCCAGGCATCGATCGTCTATGCCATCATAGCCGGCAATAGCGTCTAAGCAAGAGGCAACGTCGATGACATTCCGAGCAAGCGGGCCCGTGTGATCATCAATAGCATCCCCACTAGCAATACCTGTAAAAGGCACCAGCCCATACGTAGGCTTCAAGCCGACACCTGAGTTGGCACCATTAGCTATGTTTCTGGAAGACAATCATCAAGGCCACCTACAACCACAGAATGCAGAGGGAACCCGAATACTCCCACCCTGGTCTCCACCCAGCGTAATGTCAACCAAGCCAGCTGCAACCAAGGCAGCCCCTCCTGAGGTGCTTCCGCCAGCCGAGTATCCAGTCGCGAAAGGGTTCTCCACGGTTCCTTGAGCACTTGTGAAAGACGCTGTGGAATGGCAGTAATTCTCACAAGTCGAAGTACCATGAATGTCAGCACCAGCATCCAAAGCTCGAGTCACAACCGTCGCATCTGTAATTGGTGTCCAAGAGGGAATGATATCACTTCCAAGCAACTGTGGCACACCCGCAACGGCAATGCAATCCTTCACGCTTATCGTCTTCCCCGCCAAAAGCCCTCCCTCCGCATTTCCCTTGATCAGAAACTTGTGGGCCCAGGCCTGCCCAAATACTTGTTCCTCTGAGGATGGACGGTGAACATTCTGTCGAGGGTATCTATCTAGATCGGGGACTGGCTGATAGTCTGGCAGGTTCGCCACGGTTTCGGCGCAGTCGTGGACGGCCGCCAGGAGGGTATGAAAGTCCTCTTCATCTTCTTGGTCAAGAGATAGATCTAGATTGCGCAGAAGGGAGGCCGCATCCTCCCTCTTGACCGGATTGTTCCTGTATATGATCTCTAAGGTTCAAATTCCTGGCGAAAGAGTGGTAATGAAATAGATAGAGGAATCAGTACTTACGGCGAAATAGAAGTGAACAATACTGACATGATGTGTGAGTAGAATTGGACACGAAGTTCAATTCTACAATGAGAAGAGTATTGACTCCGACGACAGCGAAGAAGAAAAGGCCTGGCATGTGCCATGTGCCAAGCCTTATCGCCAGCAGTTGGAGTCGATTACTGCATTTGGCAGGAACGACTGCCGTGACTCCAACATCCCCTCCCAGGCAGCCGTCCGGGGCGGCCTGAGGGCCTGAAAGGCTAAGGGTCCAGCTTATCAGATTAAGGGATCTCATTGGGTTTCTTCACCCCATTTTCAACCCGCCAAACCCACCAAAACCCATCAGACATGTCTGATTCCTACTTAGACTACACGTTCGATAACTGACGAAATTATCCAAATCACTAGCCTTATCGCATCGCTCACCTACCCCAATACCCCTCATATCGCACCCATCGATAATGCACCATGCCGTCTACTCCAACTGATAGACTCCAACGTAGCACTCCAACGGAGATAATTCTCCGTGGGAATCCTTATCAGCCAGCAACTGAGCTCGACCTCATCGGCCCGTCATACTATCAGTAGCGATTATATTACTGGTGATAATGTTCCGCGGCCTGATCCCTGTGCATTAAATGCCTAGCAATAAAAATGTAAGGGGTCCCGACTTTAGAGGTAACTCCTCTTTCCCTTCACCTGGACACCCACCATGGCGTACATCAATGAGGCCAAGGACCTCAAGGTCGCTCCAGCCCCGAGCGCCAGCGACGACATCAGAGTCGCCAGTTCCTCAGACATCATAACAGGCGATGATAGCCATGAAGTCTTCAAGCAAGCAGATGGCAAGGTCAATTTCCGCACCGTCAGCTGGATCCGTGCATCAGCTATCTTCCTGAAGAGTGTGTCCACAACTAGTCCCCTACAACTTGCATTTTTCTCATCGGACATCTCCAGTGCTGTTCGCAACCGGCATCCTCTCCATCCCATCAGTAATGTATGATCTGGGGGCCTTCCCCGGTGCCGTTAACCTGGTAGGATGGTGCGTCCTCAATGCCTACGGAGCCATAATCCTGGGCAACTTTCGCACCCTATATCCACAATGTCACTCCGTGGCCGATATGGCCCAGCTCATAGGAGGCCCCATGCTACGCGAGGTGGTCGGCTTCATGTTCATCGTGACATATGTGATCACCGCTGCATCAGGGATTATTGGCGTCTCTGCTGCATTTAACGCCCTCTCCCTCCACTCCCTCTGCACGGTGTGGTTCTCATTCATCTCCACCATCATCATTGCGGGCTTTGCTAGCGTGCGCAAATTCTCCCACATCGGGTGGCTCACCTGGGTGGGCTTCGTTAGCATCCTAGCCGCAGTTCTCATCGTCGTGTACGTCCCCTAGCCCCTTCCCCAACACCACCACCACCATCACAAGCCTAACACCTCCCAGCATTGGCGTAACAACCCGATCCCGCCCAGCAATAGCCCCCCAAACAGGCCCCTACGACCTAGGCTACCGCGTAATCGGCTCCCCGACCTTCGCAGCAGGAATAACCGCTTCAGCTACGATATTCGTTTCCAGCGCCGCAACATCCGCCTTCCTGCCCGTGATCTCCGAAATGCGCAAACCCAAAGACTACCCGAAAGCGGTCTACCTGTGCATGTCATTTGTAACATCCTCCTACCTCGCCTTCGCACTAGTAATCTACGCCTGGTGCGGGAAATGGATCGCCTCTCCAGCCCTCGGCAGCGCCGGCACGACCATCAAACGCGTCGCCTACGGCATCGCCCTACCAGGCCTGATCGTCAGCGGCTCGCTCTACGTACACGTAGCAGCAAAGTACCTTTTCGTTCGGATCCTGCGCCACTCGCGCCACCTCCAAGCCAACACAGTCGTGCACTGGGGTACGTGGCTGAGTTGCACGATAGGATTAGCTGCGATTGCATTTATCCTGGCGTGTGCGATTCCTATCTTCACGTATGTGTTGGCATTGGTGGGGAGCTTGGGTTTCGCGCCGTTGGCACTGTGTTTGCCGGGGTGGTTGTGGTTGTATAGTCATGGGGAGTATTGGAAGTCTGGAGGGGTGGTGAAGCGGGTGGTGTATTTGTTGCATGTGTTGTTGATACTCCTGGGTGCGTTTATGACGGTGGGTGGGACGTATGGTGTTATTGTGCAGATTATGGATGCGTATAGGGATGGGGAGATAGATGGGGTGTTTTCGTGTGCGGATAATAGTGGTTCTACCTGAGGATATCTACTAGAGTAAATGTAATATATGCAATTAAAATGCAATACATCATAGGTTTGGTCGTGCATTTGTAGTTCATATAGATTTAGTATGATTGTTTGTAGATTGTCATTGATCATAGGACTCGTCAAAGTAACAGGAAGTTACAACGGTGGCTTGCTAACACAAACATCGCATTCGAAATGAGAAAGGAAAATGAAATGAGGTAGAAAAAAAGCAGAGAAAGAAATAAGATACTAACAAGACCCTCAAGCCTTGACCCAGTCAAGATGTGTCAACGCTAACAGGAAATAGAAAACCCCCGAATCAGCACGTCCCCCTGCAGAACCGGAGTCTGACAGATTCCTGATCCCATAACATCAATAGTCTGACTGCATGTTGTATCGTTGAAAACCTGCACGGAACAGTTCGAGCTGTTTCCCACTGTCGTTGTTATGTAGCCCAAGGAACCGCCGTTGAGGATAGAATCATGGCAGGACAATGTCCCGTTTCCAGAGAAAGATGTTTCTTCGCCGGTACATTGCCGGTTCTGATATAGAGATATCTGCCAGGTGGTGTTTGACGCGAATATTTGCTTCTGTGAGGGGGGGAAGGCGTGAACATGGAATAAGACTGCCAGAGCGGGAAGTAGTATTTTCATTGTGTTTGGTCCGGCTTCGATGAATTGTTATTCTCTGAGAGTGTGGTGTTGTTTTGTGGGCACTAATGGTTGGGTGGGATAAAAGTGTATGTCTGGCCTTCAGTGTAAGCGACTAGACTCGGGTCTCGAAGTCGATGCGAAGGCGGGGAGGATAAAAGAAACACGTTGGTAGGGAAAGGGTTATGGCCAATGGAGAAGATTGAGTCACTAGCTTGCGCTGTTTAGTGGCGCCTGTGGTAGGCTTTAGGCAAGGGACGCATTTGAAAATTCCCCAATTGCCGAATGACCGATCTTCAAAGCCTCATCTGACGAAAGTTTACGAGATAGACGCATGATGATGTCAGTGCCAGCAGCCCTCGCGAGGACAAACGAAACTAGTTCACCGAGCTTACGGCTCTCGCTTCCTTCGTAAGCTCTAAACTGGCGCAGTCTAAATCTGGAGGTACTGCAGAATATCCTGGTCTAGAGTGTCCGCGGATTTGGTGACCATGCTTTGGGTTTGTATCTGGCCAAGCGGGTCAAGGACCTCAGGGCTGAGGCTCGGGTCGGGAGACAAGAAAGGTTCTGTAATTGCTGGTTCCCCGGTAGGCCCAAGATCATGGAAGTCTACAACTTCAGTGTATCTGGCATCCTAGTCAGTTTGGGACCCGGCCAAGGATCGCAAGTGACTCACATCATGATTTTCCATTCATCAATTGAATGTGCTACTTCACTGAAAGACCAGTCGAACTTTTGCTCAGCAACCGGCTCATCAGTGGGATCGTGATATACGCCCAAGTAAGGATGTTCCAAAGCTTTCGCAGCAGAGATCCGCTTGTCGGGATCAAATATGAGCATATTTGCAAGGAGGTCAATAGCTGTGAACAAATCTTGTCAGCATTCGAAAGCCGTTCATGCACTTGTTCAATAGTGAAGGAGGTAGGTACCGTCCTCATCAGAGTCTGGAAACAAAGTCGCCCAAGGAGCTGGCTGGCGCTTTGGCAGCGATTTCACAATATTAAGGGCCTAGATAATAAATCAACTTCCAGGTAAACCAACAATTGTCTCAGCTCTTACGGCTTTTGTACAGATCCTCTCGATGACCTCATCAGGCGGGTTCCCCAGAGCATCCGTAATCAGATAGAATTGGTGGATATGATCCTTTCCTGGGAACAATGGCTTTCCGCGAAGCATCTCTGCGACAATGCAGCCAGCACTCCAGATGTCCACTTGCATTCCGTATTTTTGCCATGTAAGCATGATTTCTGGTGCCCTGTAATATCTTGTTGAGACATATCCGGTCATCTGAGGCTCCTGCAGTCGCGCAAGACCGAAATCACAGATCTTCAAGTCACAGTTTTCGTTGATCAGTATGTTACTCGGCTTGAGATCACGGTGTATCACGCCTGCGGAGTGGATGTATTTGAGGCCTCGCTGGGGTCGTTAGCAAGCTTCTGTCGACTGGAATGTTTCTGCAGGCGTACCAAAAGCTGATAGGTGAAATATTGAACAAATTTGCCGTCCAGAGGCTTCGAGGTAAGGAGGCGGTTGAGATCAGTTCCCAAAAGGTCTGTCACCAGATAACTGCGTCCTATCGTTAGTACTTTTGTAATCAATCCCTGAAATATATCCATTGTAGCAACCACATACACGTCCTCTAATGGTGAGATGAAAATGTCGCTCAGGCCAATAAGCTGTTGAAGGTCAGCAGTCGCATGGTATAAGAACAAACTTCAGGGAGACAGACATTCTCATGACGCAGGTGTTTCAATAGCTTGACTTCGCGGTAGGTCCGTTTGGCGAGGGTGGCGTTGGAGAACGGCTTCATCATCTTCTTGATAGCTACTGGCTGGCGCGTAATCATGTCATAAGCCGAGCTAGTGTCGCCGCAACGTGGTTAGCTATTCTAGTCCGTCTATCCAGTTATGGCGACTATATGGTAAAAGAAAGTGAGCTCGTACCAAACAAGCCCGAAGGCACCAAGTCCAACAGGCTGCAGGTCGGAATATCTGAGCCGGAGATTAGTAGCTACGAATCGACCTTAGCAGCGGAGTGATCACTGACCTGTTGGTGGTTTCGAATGTAGTCCCCAAAATCTGGGATCGCAAGAACTCGGCCATGTTGTCTGACTGAAAGGGAAACCGTGTGAAACAGAAAATGGGTCAAGGATGGTAGATAAAAGATGGTAGATGGCAGTTAGTTGTACTGAGCACTACTGACTTAGTAGTACTAGTATGTAGTAGTAGTAAGTCCGTAGTAGCAACTGTAGGTGGCAAAGCTAAAGTTGAAGACCCTGGTGATATATGTTTATCTTTTTTAGAAATCAGGTAGGAGGAAGCATGCCAGCTGAGCAAAGGCAAGCCAGTTGCATCATGGACGGCCACTAGTGTTAAGGGAAGTTCCCGCTGCGCAGCTGTAGGGATTGTGGTGGTGGTGAATGAGAAATGAGAAGGAAGAGGAGTACGGAGTACTAAGTAGTAGTAAAAGATACTCAAATTAACTATTAACTACTTTAGTTACTGGAAGTACCACAGCGGTGCCTGGGCAGTGCCTGAAAGGCCCGTTACGGCCTGCGATTGGCGGGTTGTCGGACCAGCCACCAGCGCGCCGGGGCTTTTCCATTTCCAAGATTCCTTCCTTTTTCTTGCTGCCGGTAAATCCACCGTCGAACGACTCCAGCGTCACCGAGTCGAGTCCGTCTTCCCTTGAGCGGGTCGCCCATCTGTCCACACCCCACGTTCCGGCCGTCTCCGAGTTTATCCTCACCTCTCCCAAGGGGTATTTCGAACTTCCTGAGGGCACTTCCGCTGGCCCACACCAACGATGCAGCGATGGTCTCGCTTGCAGGGTTGTTACACAAACGACCCCGCTTGGTCGCGTGTGCATTCCAGTATCATCTCTACTTGACTCGATCGGTGGAACCTACACGAGACATCGTGATTGCTCGAGACACGAAGAGCCAGGAAGAGTCGAGAAGGCGGAAGAATCCAACTGAGTAACTGGGAATGCGGGGGGAACGGGCGTGGTAGGAAAGTACTACTTGGGGACTGAACAGGAGCAGCTTATTCTACTCGGTACTAAATTCCTCCATCGTCTTTACTAGAATGAACTATCGCCAGAGGCTCCGGGCCAATCAGAATACGGGAGCAAGCCTTGACATCATCGCCGACTTCCTTGATTGACTGAGAAAACTAAATTATCACACACCACGTAGCAGCCCTATCTACCTATTTTTGGTGCTGGGGCTCATGAAACTCTAAGTCTTTGCAGCCCATGCCTTCGGATATCTTTCCAGTGGGCCGTCAGATCTCCATGAGATTTTCTTCCGACAGGGGAACCGTGGTGTTGCGTTCCTGAGGACTACTTGCCACTTCCGTCTCGGAGAGAAGAAGATCTTCATCCGCCTCTGTTCCTGGTGTGGGCCGCGCTGCCGCGGCGGTCTCGGTAGCCTTCTTTAGCAAAAGCGCGTCGTGCTCCTTCGCACCTCCACTTGCAAACGCCTGGTAATGTCTGACCGCTTCAGGATAGGGACTCGGTCCCTCCAACGGGGTGGTGGAGCCCTGGGCTTCATAATGGAGACGTAAACCATCAAGTTGTGAAGCCACCTCACATGTGCACCTGCAGATATGGCTTATTGCACAGGGTCTACTGCAGGCGTGCTTGCAAGCCATCCGTTTGTTGCAGATGTCATTGCACTCTACCTGGTCATGAGAAAAGCTGTGTTGTTGCGACTTTGTTAGCTTCACCCCGCTCCTTTAGACTAGAGTTATTGCGCCTACCTGTGGCATTTGATGGGACAGGGATGGCCGCAATCCAACGTTTCATCACAATGGCAATCACATCCGCCATTTATCTTGTTCCAGTCGGAAAGACCTGGGTGTCAGGTGTCAGCTAAACATTCAAAATGACACCATAACTTCAACGAAGGATTTCCCAAACCTTGTATTAAAGTTGTCCGCTTGTGTTTTACACATGTGACGGGCAGCTGTGTTCCCAGACGCCGTTGTGGTTCGTTGTTGGCCATCAATGTCAGTACATCCCGCCAGAGCTGATTCTGTTTTGCCAACGAATATGCGTTGCCGAACATATAAAACCCGCGTCTTGCACGCGACAGTGCAACACAGACCCTGTTTGCAATCGACAGGAATCCAATGTCATTCTCGCCGCTCCGAACGAGTGAGAGGATTACGATCTCGTTTTCTTCTCCCTGGTATGAGTCAACAGTTACCACATTCATGTACTGGCCTTGAAGGTACGGATGGTGTCTCAAAACGGTCAAGAGCTTTTTCCTCTGGCCATTGTAGAAGGTCAGAATGGTTATATCTTTCATAGTGTTGCCATTCTGTACCAGGTAGACAACAAATTCTGCGATCATCTGGGCCTCCATGTCGTTGTATTTGGACGCAAGGCTATCTCTGCTCTCTGGCCAAATATGAGTGAAAAAGTAGGAGCGAATGATCCCCATTCCTCTCACTCCAGGTCGTTTGCGTACTGACTCATGATCATTCAGTTCGCCGTATATAGGCTCCAGGAGTTGACGGATCTCCGGTGCCATTCTTCTTTGCCTGTTCAGCATGACGTAGTTCATTCCGTTCTTGACCAGTCGCTCAAACATGGAGACTCCCAGATTGTAGGGCTCGCCCCCGAGCTCCTGAACAGTGCAGTGCCCTCGGAGCTGCTGGTGGTCACCCACGAGTATCATGTGTTGGAGTGAGTCAAAGCACGCAGCAACAATTGGCGCCTCGATAGCCTCGGCGGCTTCTTCGATCAAGACGATCTTCGGTCTAAGGCTGGAGATCAGCCCCCGGTATTTACTCAGACCCGTGGCTGTCATCCCGATCACTTTCGCCGTCCGAAGAACGTGGTAATCCCGTTCCCATTTTCCAACGAGGAGATTCTCACAGTTCTTCGAATAGAGTAAAACCTGTTGCCGAAGACCTTCTGTCATCTTGGTCATCAATTGTTTTCGGAGGACATCATACATAGCCCCCCGAGCCTCTTCTCTCACCTTCCACAGATCCTTCTGCTTCAGGTTATCAGTAGCAGAAGTCTCGGAGCACGAGATTTTGCAGCCACAAACGCCATCCTGAAGATTGATAAATTGTCCTTTGAGGATCTCGTAATCATCCTCTTCAATGCCCTGCTCGGCCTCCAATTCCTTTAGTTGTTCGTACTCGAGGTCTACCTCATCCTCCTCGAATCCGAAACTCTCTCTCTCATACCCCACTTCGAATGGTACCAACTTGTCACCTAGCCAGACTACCAGCGGGTCGGTATCTTCACTATCAGTGGGACGAGTCCAGCCTTCAGCACCTTTCTTTAAGTTGTCGAGCTGCGTCTCCGTCAAGAGGCCATACTCAACAAACAGAGAAGCGGGAAGGGGCGCGTTGGTATTTTCGGCGTTGAAAGGCTGCAAAGTCCTGGCAATGGCTTGGGTCAGGACTTTCTGCTCCTTTCTGGCCGCTCCTAGCACGCTTCCATGTACCGTGACTGCGGGTTCATTTTTCCTGGCGCAGTAGAGAGTCCTTCGTTTTATCTCAGGGTCGTTGCTCCGTGAACCGATCCGGATATAGTTCGTTTCGAAGGTGGCGACGAGCCTCAAAAGTTGATCCAACGCATGGTTCGTCTGGGAGGCTAGGATGATAGGAGAGTCCCCGTGCTTCACGTTTGAAAGGAGGACCCTCAGCGCAACAACAGACACATAAGTCTTCCCTGTGCCAGGAGGGCCTTGTATGAGCGAGAGCCTCTTCGTAAGCATCTCGTGCAATGCTTGCCATTGTGTAATATCCATGGCTTGGCTGGGTTCTCGAGGCCAGCTTTTTAGAATGTCAACTTTGTGTCCCTCGGCAGCCTCGGCAGTCTCGCTGGCTACGGACTGTAGGTCAAAGATAGGATCTTGTTCCACATAGTCTGGGGCTCTGACATTAGGGTCAAGCAGGCAAATGTGTTCAGAAAGAGGAAATCTAGGCTATAAATCAGAATCTAATTGACACAACGAAGAGTGTTGTGCAACTTCGGAAGGAAGCTCTACTCACTTTTCTTGTTTCAACTTCTGGAGCGCTGCCATCGTGTGCCTCACAGATTCATAGTAGCCATCCTTGGCTTCTACCATGATCCATTCCTTCTGAGGGTCGAATTCAAAATCTTCGAGCCTAGCAAGGAAGATATCAATTTCCGGAGGATGCTTTTGAACGCCTTCAAGCGGCCTGGCAGCAACAATGGCAACGATGCACTTCTGCTGAAATGCGTCATCTGCTGGACTAAGCGCAACTATAGAGCCGCTGACAAGACGCTTAGAATATTCCCACGCGATATTTTTCTCCGCTCGGCGAGTGGAGAAGCGGATCCTAATTCCTAGACCTCTTTGCGCGAATGTGATACCGGTGAAGTAAACCTAGAGCAACGTCTTACTGTTAGTAAGTCGAAGAAGGTTTTCGTGTCAGATAACCTACCTTATCATAGATGGACACAAGCTTGGAGTCAGTCATCTGGGGGTCATCTCTGACATATGCAACGGCGTCTCTGAGAGGAGCAATCGCATCTTCTCGAAGGAGCTCATAGTGTGCTTTGAGATACTCATCGGTCGAGTCCCAAGGACCCGTGATATTATTTGGAGTCAACTCCACATACTCATCCTCTGCAGAACCAAAGTTGCCCATTATCTCATCTGACGATGGAATGTCCGGCTTCTTTAGCCATTCCTCAGCAAAGTCAATAGATGGCTGGGCAAGGTACACTCTGATTTCTTTATTGACCAGCAGATGGGTGTCCATATCTCGCTCCGACAGCCGGGGATCTGAGCGAGGAGTCCCGGGCCGATGGGAATCCCCTGAGTCCATATTGATGGGACTTGACGGGTTCAGAAATGATACAACGAGTAAATATCAAAGTCTTGGTTGTGCAAATGGCTATATTGTAGATATCAATAATGAAAAGTATAGAGATTGTAACCACAAGAGTAGTAAAAACTCAGAGAGCTGCTTTGTATGGAAAGAAGGACTTGTGGAGAGATCTCGAAGCGATGAGGAAATGGAGGGGGGGAAGTGAGAAGTAGGAAGGAACATGCCGTGTAATTTATACTGCAACCCCTATAGAACCTATAGTTTTTACAGTGTATAGAGTATGTACAGTGCCTATGAGTTAGGTAATGACTTATCTGCTCACCAGTATTCACTTGAATAACACTTAGCTGATACCATCTTTCAGATGCACTTCACTTGCTTCTTACCTCGCCGTTTGTTTGTGCTTGGCTGCCATTCTCTTCAATTTTTTACTTTATCTATGTCTAAATATAAGCTGGGAGTAAAGCTAGATTCTCAGGTGTGTCTAGTGATTGTAAAGTTGACGTGTGGCCGTGGTGTAACATCAGCCATCTAGCTATAGGTTGAGGAAGTGTAGGTACTTCTCTGTTTGCAGGCCGGACTATGTTGTTAATCCGGCCACAGTAACTCCAGCAAGCAAAATCTTGTAGGAAGGACTTATCTCCTTTCTACTTTCGTCAGCTCATTCATTCGGCTTCTACTGCGTGCGAAAGAAGAAGTATGGTATGTGAACTGTCATCTCAGGCATACGGTTATAAGGCAAACTTTGGAAGTTCCGGAAATCCGCTATTACTGTCACTATGGATAAGTTACGCACAAACCGGATTAGAGCTGATTTCTACGGGCATCTGGATTCTGGGTGATACTACCTTTCATGACGATACCCAACTGGAAGCTGTAGTAGGATGATACCGCTATGTTTTTCAAACCACACCAACTTACAAGATAGTTGTGATATGTGCTCACACACCGCTTGTACGAAGAAAGCAAGAGAGACAGTTTCAGCAAACGCGTCACTTTGTGTCTGAAAAGTTATTCCCAAGATCACCAGTGAAGCTGGAGCCTCGATAGATGCACCCATCTGCGCTAACCGGATATAGAGTGTTATTGCCTGAGGCATAAATAATACCGCGAAACGTGACCGAATCGGGGAAGGCCATAAGCGGGCAGCAAAGGATCAACTTACCCCAGAATCCAATGATAGCTACATGTCGTTCTCTGCATTGTTCTGCGAACCTCTTCTTCGGTGAAGACAGCCTCACGTGTGCGCGATTCCATCCAGCACGTTAAAGTGTGCGAAGCCAAGCTATGCACCCTTAGTCTGCGGGGTTGCTTTGCATTCATTGAAATTGTTGCGCCTTGCCTGTGAAAGGACCCCGATCTCCACCACGCGGTCACAGGGGAGTCGGTACACACGCCTCTCTATTCCCTGCAGTATCCACTCACTTATCCAAATTGGCGTGAAGCCAAGTCGACTCACCGAACAATGGCTTCGCTCGAAGATGACGACGATCGCGACCTTGCAGGTAAGCTTTGTGACTTCCTCCGGTTCGTCTGGGCAACACTGATAAGTTCTCCGCAAACCCAGGCTCTCAAGACGGAAGTTCGGACAATGAAATGGAGGATACACTTCGGGATGCAGATGATGGAGGGAATGACAACGAAGCTGATCCCGATGCGGACGCCGACCAAGATGCGGAAAGTCAGTCCAATGCTAGTCATGCATCTGAAAGCGCTGGGGTAGCGACGCAACCAAACGCGGATGTCGAAATGTCCAATACAACTGCTACGAATTCCGTTTCTGATCCACGATCTGTTTTCCATCCGAGCGTGCGGGAAAAGTGCCTGACAGCGCCTACGTTCGACATAGTCCCAACTACGGCCGCCCCTCACAGTACATCGATCAATGCGGTAACTGCGACCGCTGATATGAGATGGGTATTCAGCGGCGGCTCAGATGGATACGTTCGGAAGTTCAATTGGGTGGACTCTGTCAACAGCAAGCTGATGCTCACTGTGGCGCAAAGGCATCCTTTCGTCGACAGTGTCATCAAGGCGGGTGTACTGATGACGTACTGGGAAAACATGGACGGGAACACAATATCGCCAGTATACTCGCTGGCCAGCCATAGTGAAGGTCTATGGTTGTTGTCTGGCTTGGAGTCCGGTAGCATCCGACTGCAATCAGTCCGTCATGATGAAGGAAAAGAGATCGCTCTTCTGCAGCAGCATACTTCCGCAGTCTCTGTACTGAGCTTGACTTCAGATGAAAAGTCTCTATTATCTGGCAGCTGGGACAAACGAGTGTTTGATTGGGACCTTAACACAGGGCAGACCCGACGCGCATTCGGGTCTAGCGCCGGGCAGATTTCCGCTGTCGAGATACGGCCAGAATCCAGTCTGCCGGTTCCCAGGGACACAACCGAGATTCAACAGACAAATGGCACATACTCGTCCAACTATCAGGCTCCTGAGAATGGTAGCTTCAACTTCATGGATACGTCGAACGACGGTGAAAACGGCACTGGCTCAAACCCGCAGGCGGGCTCTCCGGCTGATTCACTCTTCGGCGGTGCCGACTCGCTATTCGGCGACGAGAACGGGAATGGCGGAGACGAGGCCGGCGCATCTGGAAATGCATTCGGCATTGACGAGGATGATGAGTTTGGTAAAGCCCTTACTAATGGAGTGTTGCCAGATGCCGACGCCCCTGGAGAACCGGAACCGAGTCAGAACGGTGTTGCAGAGGATCCTGCTGCTCCAGCTCCGGATTCGGCCCCGGCTCCGGCAGGTGCTGAAGCTGCAACTGCCAATAGAAATGCCGTCACTCAACCCCCTAGTTCTGGCCAGGCGGAGATGCCTAATGGCTCCTCTCAGCCGATAGTCAATGGACTACCGCATGCCGAAGAGCTGGAACCACCAAGCTATACTCAAGAGAGTGCTCTTCCTGCGCCAGCAGAAACAGGTGCTAATACGGATAATCTTTTCCTGGCTGCGTCCATTGATGGCACTATCCGAGTGTGGGATAGAAGAGAACCGGATGCCGTTGCTCGCATCACTTCTCAAAACTGCCCTCCTTGGTGCATGAATGCCTGCTGGTCCCCAGACGGCAACTATATATATGCAGGCCGTCGTAATGGAACTGTTGAGGAGTACAGCCTTCATAAGGGCCTTCGGAATGCTGAACGGACCTTCAAATTCCCTCAGGGTAGTGGACCGGTTACGGCACTCAAGGCCATGCCTAACGGCAGACATATCGTTTGGTACGTATCTTCGTCGTCAGTAAGGCTCTACTTTCATTGACGTGACTGGCTGACCGTCACTTCGTAGCGCATCGCATGACATTCTTCGATTGTACGACCTCAAACATGAACAAGTGACTCGCCACTCCACAGTGCCCTTCTTGATTATCCCAGGACACCGTACCGGAACTGTATCCCAGCTGTACATTGACCAGGCGTGTCGCTTCATGGTCTCAACAAGTGGTAACAGAGGCTGGGAAGGTAATACGACGGAGGTCTTGCTAGGCTATGAGATTGGGGTGCCTGGTTAAAGGTCTGCCAGCTCCTTGCGGAAAAGTTTGCCATACCATTTGTGACCTTGAAAGTATGTGGGCACTAATGGTTGTGTTTAGACATCAGTTACACCCTATGGGTATACAGTAGAATCGGAGTTCTCCTTGGACCCAGACTTGAGATGAAAGCGATGACTCAGACACCGCTTCTGCCACGAAAAATGCATGAAAGACTAATGTGAATGACATGAATGCAGTCGCTGATACTAGACAACCTGACTTCGATATACGATAGTATTTTGGCATAATACATGATTCATATACACATGACTGCATAAAGTATCGCCGCGTGCCTCACAGGGCACACATGAATATGGACATGATAACCACCAATATTCCCGATATATATACCTCAACTCCCATGGGAACCTGGAATGCCAGTGACTCGCTTTCTTTTGAGCCATCAATACATCCACTTGAAATGAAGCAAACAAACGCCACAGGAACCAGCCAATATGCAAAAGCAAAGAAGAAAGAAAGTTCACAAATCAAATCCATCGTGGACTGCATCATCAAGGTCGAGGCCTTCGCAGACCTCATGTTGCCCAACCCGCCAAGATCCGAACAGTGGATTATGGGCCCATTTAACATGACCATCGTTGTCCTGCTCAAAATACACATAGCCTGGTTGCTCATCAGGATTGAACTCATCTTCGTTGGGCGACAATACGCCATCAGGCCCTGTGACCAGATCACTAAATCCAGGAATATCTGTGTTTGGAACATGGCCACGAGCTTCAATGTGGCCGTTTTCCACGCTGTTCACCGTAATCAGGTATACGGGAGGCAGAACCGAGTCTCTCTCTGCTCTCAAGGGCATAGGCAGCCAGGCTTCATTGTTGAACGATTCGATTCTGTTCTTATCATGTCGCAATGGCAGCGGTCGGGAGAGAAGCATAGCGTCCAACTTGGCAGTGTCGAGCAACAAACCAGGCGTTTGCACATAGAGGACACTGTCATATTGCATAAACTGGATCTGTCCCAGCCGCAGCAGCTTTGTATCGGTAGGCTTGTAGCCTTCAGAAGTGGCTAGCGTCATATCAATGGGCAGAAGCCAGATACCGTACTCCAGACTTGCCGTTCTCAGCAAAGAAAGGGCAGTGGCGACCGGTTCGGTGAGCTCCTTAGTGGGCATCAGGTCCCACTCACGCGGATACATGAACAGCCTATCCTGAACTGCAGTACCATTGGTCGCTAAATGCTTAAAGAAGAGAATGGCGGAGCAGATGTCCGACGGATCGGGAGTGGAGAGCAGCTGGAGGTATGCAAAGTTGCCAGTCGTTGCTTGTGGGGAACCAGCATCATCCCTCTTGTGCTGTTTATCGGCGATACTATCGGAGAAAACCTCTTGCCCCCCTTGGTATGCTCCCACCGGGACCGCCGCCGGGGGTGGTGGCGGAGGCGGTCGGATGGCATGCTGAATGCTTCGGACAGACTGCTGTTGCAGGACATACCCCGAAAGGAAGAGCAGAAATGTAAAGGAACAAATGACAGCTGTGGATATAATGACCGAGACCGTCGACGAAGTAAGAAGCACCATGACTGTCTGCGCGCGCCCCCCAAATTAACCGCTTAGTGCGTGTCTGTGTATACCCGTCGTACGTAGCCTGTGGAGACTGAATTGTAGGCAGCACTGTTTTGATATGCACTAGTAACTGCTTTAGAGAGCCCGGCCTATACAGCAAGTATACGAGGAGTAATTTTCAATTCGAACCAGATGAGAATTCCAGCGATCATGATATTTGATAGAAGCATGAGTTTCTAGTCTGACACAGGCAGATGATCATCACAAACATTCACCCTGGCGGTGCCAAGGCCACACCATGTCTCAGCCTGTTGATTGTTGCCCGTTGGCCGTGCGACTATCGATAAGCTGCTTCTTGGCACTTCACTACGTATCTAGTAGTATGGAGCTTGGCCACTCCATCACCTTTGCAGATATTGGTTAACATGTGAGAATAAAACTTAATATGCGCGTGAGAATATCCCCATCACTCACAAGGATACATACAATTCCTTCATTATCATCAACACCCTCCCGAGTATCCAAGCACACCTCCATCCCCTACTCAACCCTCCCCCAAACACCCAAACCACCCCATGAACACCAATACTCCTGTCCCATCAACGCGGAGCCCCTCCACCGCTACACAACCGGCGGCTACCACCCAATAACACTGGGAAGTCTCCTCCATCAAGAAAGATACAAAATCCTGCATAAGTTAGGATGGGGCGGATACTCCACTGTCTGGGCTGCTAGAGATGAACAGTACTTAAATATCTCAGTTTTCATTCTCCTGACATTGAAAGTTATCTACTAGTATCGGACAACCCGCTAATAGAGATTTGTTTTCAGAGAAGGGAGGTATGTCGCTATTAAGATCTGCGTATCGGAGAACTATAGCAATAAAGGGCGTCAGGAGATTAGTATTTTGAAGAGTCTAAACGACACTAAACATGTCGTGCGCATGCTTGATCACTTCGATGTAGAGGGACCGAATGGGATACATCCCTGTTTGGTTCTTGAGATGCTGGGTCCAAGTGTGTCTGATTTGGTGGAGGGGTGGTTCGCAGATGGGAGACTCCCTGGGAGTTTGGCTAAGGGTGTTGCGAGGCAGGCTATGAGGGGACTTGATGCATTGCATCGTAGGGGGATTGCGCATGGAGGTTAATCTTTCTCTTCATGTTCACTTTCTCTTGCTTACATTGTATAGATTTCCATATCCGCAATCTGGCTTTCAATATACCATCTGTGGCTAACATCCTCGAAGATGAACTCATCAATCTACTAGGGAGACCAGATATCGGATACGTCCGCTGCAATGATGGTGGAAGCCTGGCGCCTGGTATACCGGAGTATATTGTTAGGCCTGCAAGTCTACACTTACAGTCATGGCCATTGTCGAATACTGTCAAAATTGTTGACTTTGGTGAATCGTTCCCACAGAAAGATACTCCTGAAATACTCCACACTCCACTAGTAGTTCGGGCACCTGAAGTGATATTTAAAGACCGTCTGGATCATCGTGTGGATTTGTGGAGTCTAGGCTGTATGGTATGGCGCGGCCCTACCCACCAATGATTAACATGTTATGGCTGACTGGTGTGATAGTTATTCGAATTACTTGTTGGGCAACCCCCCTTTGATAGCTTCTTGATTACTCCCAAGATTCTCGTTGAGCAAATGCAAGAAATGGCGGGCGAAGCATTGCCTGACAGATGGGTACCTTTATGGGAGTCAATGCGTGGAGAAGATATCACTGAAGACGGAGGACTTGGATTGCAAGAGTGGCTAGAGGAGATGTACTTTGATGGTGAGCGCAAAGAAGACTTGTCGAGAGATGATATTGTGGAACTGGGGAGGATCATTCGGAAGTTGCTACGCTTTGAGCCAGGTGCTCGTGCTTCGGTGGAGGAGATCTTGAATGATCCTTGGTTTAGATATTGATATAGTTTTAGGATATACCTCTGGCATGGATGTGCAATAATTTGAGTTATGTTCACCCTGTCAACTGCATCTTCACTGTGATGTTAACATAGAAAATCCAAAAGTAGTAACTATACAAACCACACCGCCCACCACCCCAAGGCGGTACCACCAAACCAACCGGCAGAAAAACAATCCCATCCACCATCTCCACCACAGATAGAGATAGCTAGCTTTCCCCCAGTCTACCTACATACCTATCCAATCATTCATTCAATTACCTTCATATCCCCCTACCCTCCATACCCTTTCCCACCCCTCCCAACACACCAAAATAAAAGAGGAGAAAAGAGAAAAGAACAATGACCTCCCACCGCGCCGACGCCAGCACCTTCCTCGACAACCGGGGCTACAGCGGCCCCCTCGTACGAGGCGTGAACCCAGCAACGCTCTTCGAAAAAGCCGTTCGGGACCGGATCACAGACTCCTACTACTGGAAAGAGCAATGTTTCGGACTCAACGCGGCGACGCTCTGCGACCGGGCCGTGGAACTGACTTGCATCGGGGGCGTATACGGCGTATCCGAAAAGCCCTCCCCGTTTCTCTGTCTCGCGTTCAAGCTCCTGCAACTCAACCCAGAACGGGACATCATCCTCGAGTATTTGAATTTCAGCGATCCCGACAACGAACCCACGAATGATGAATCCTACGAGGAAGGTAACGGGGTAGTCAAAGCGCGCGGCGACTTCAAATACCTGCGCGCGCTAGCGGCATTCTACGTGCGACTGACGTTCGAGCCGGTGGAGGTGTATAAGACGTTGGAACCGTTGTTGTTGGATTATCGGAAGTTGAAGAGACGGGTGCGCGATTCGTTTACGTTGACGTATATGGATCAGTTTGTGGATGAGTTGTTGACCAAGGAGAGAGTTTGTGGTACGAGTTTGTGGAAGTTGCCTGCTAGGCAGGTTTTGGAGGATTTGGATTTGTTGGAGGTTAGGGTTAGTCCGTTGCAGGATGAGTTGGAGGAGATGGAGAGGAGTGATCGGGAGGAGGACGATGAGGAGGATGGTGGTCGTGATGATGAGGGGAGTGAGGAGGGGGAGAGGCAGGGTGATGATTGAGGTTTCGGGCTTGGTGTCTGTTGATTTTTTGACCTCTTTTCTGGGTTATTGGCCCGAGTACACACATGGGATGCTACGTAAAAGCCTGGATCCCTGGGGCTGTCGGCTAGATGGTGTTCGGCTGATGGCTATCAGATCCGTGTGGTAGTCCACCGGTTGCGCCGTTCAGCGCCTCCTCTAGCTGCTGCTGGGCAGCCGTTCGGAAACCCGCTCCGGCGACACCTACGTACGGTGAAACGATACGTGAAGCGACAGGCTACTGCTGCGGCTACGGATGTACGCGCCTGGTGAAACTCGGTCCTCGTGGGATACTATTGAGTAGATTGCTCAATTTTGGAATGCGCTGAGATAGCCTCCATTAAAACACAAAGCATGGCATAGTCGGCATTAGAAGGAATGAAACAGCCTCCCATATATGCAAATCCCATCCACCCATCTGGTTTACATACGTAAGGATTAGAATCCCTGCTGGCGATGCCATTTTTCCTGCCAACCCTGGTACCAAGGACTGTCATCCAAGGTTGACACTTGCCAATTCTTGGGGACCAGTCCCTTCTCCTCCTGCTCCTTGGCCCACTCTTCGAGCTTCGGGATTACAACGTGCTCCACGTGCCAGGTGCCTTTGTAATCCATCAAATTCTTTTTACCCTCCTTCAGGATCTTGACCGTCAATGCAGGCACGCCTGGCTCGTCCTGGAATTCTGACACCGGGGTGAAAAGGGCCTTGAAGTTGAAAACAATGGCGGCGGAAAGAGGGAGACGACGGAGAGTCTGCCAGTCGACACGCAAGTGACAGTTGTCCAACTGGAGGTTCGGGTCCTGGGAAAGGCGCAGTGTCTCGTGAGGGTCCCCTTTAGGCATGTACAAAGGCTGGCCGACCTCGAGTCCCCAAGATCCTCTCTGAATGGGCTTGTCGGCAGGCATTTTGGTAAAAAATCTAGGCATTTCCTATCAGATCATCCCTCTTGTCCATATCTATGGCCAAACGAACTTACCGGTCCATCGAAAATTGCATCTTCTCTTTGTAGTCCGGAATGTCCTCGTGGATCTGGTGCAGCTGAAGGCCGATTTTGGTTCCAACATTCCATCCCAAAGACGAACAGATGACGCCTGCGCGTAGGAAGTAGAATCCCGTCTTCTCATCGCGCATCATGATCCCAAAATCCTCTGGCACATTATTGATAAGAATCTCGAGGGGATGCTTGGACTTGATAACCTCTGTCGTTCCTAGGATCCGATTGTGCAGAATTTGGTTGTTTTCGACGGCAAAGTACTGCGGATAGCGGGCACAGATGAACTGCAATACCATTTCCATGAGCTCCTTGCAAGCCAGTTCAGATCCAGGAAGATAACCAAGCACGGAGCTGCCATGCTTTGCATACAACTCCTTGCGCTGTTTGACTCGCTCTCTGTAGGTGTTCTCGAGTTCGATCCACCAATCGGTCTCTAACTTTGTAAGGGCTAACGCGTTGTAAGCGGTTAGCTGGCGCTTCAGTAAACGAAGTATAAAACGGGAGTAACGTACACATTGTCTGATGGTAGGACCACCTGAATGGGCGATAAGGTCGGGGCAAGGCCTTGTCAATGTCGAACTCATAATACGGCTCCGGCAAGGGCACACCACTGAGTTCAGCATAGTCAGGGAAATCACCCAGTGCCTTCACCTCTGCCACCGAGAATCCTGTTGGAGTATAGCTCTTGTCCGTGCATGTCCGGTAGTTCGTAGTCATAGGCAATGGGTAGTTTGCAACTTCTCCCTCGTCGACACTTTCACATGAAATTGCAATCTTGGACGAATCGAGAACATGACGACGTTGTGGTGGAAAGACGTTCACATAAGATGCAGAAGACGGTCCAGAGAGTTCCTTCTCCTCAGCCGCTGCTGCCCATGGCTGCCACCCATGTTTGGAGAACCTGTTGTTGCGAAGGCAACCTAAGAAACCACTACCCTGCAATCTCCCGGTCACTAGGAAGAACCCAGCGAGTGAGAGCACGGCAAGGCCGACCAGCCATAGATTACCCTGGTTGTTCAGTACGTCCATATTGGATACCTGCTGTCCCACAACGCCCAAAAAGACAATGAGACGAGAAGAGACCGTAGCCGCAGGGTTGTAGCGATCGGGACGCCGAGAGAAACGCCAGAGGGAAACAAGAGCAAATATACCGCACCTGACAAAGTGGAGGCGTTACGTGAATGGAAGTCGGATGCGGTTCCCATAGCATTGACAGGCAGCCATACTAGGAAAGCTCAGCCTGCCCCAGAATTCTGGGGAAATCCCAGCTGATAAATCGGATATCCTGCTGCATAAAGGTGGCATCCCTCGACAGAATTTACTCTGTTTGGTGCGGCAATGCAGATAAAACAAAGATAAGGACAGTATCAGTCAGATACGACGCAGAAGCTTTGATAACCGACGTGCTTCTTCTCCGTGGGCCAGCGGTCAACACGACACGATAACAGGCTCAGGCGCAGACTCATGACGGATCGGCGCAACCTTTTTAGCTGAGAGACGCGGCTGATTCGCCAGCTCTCACTGCTCTTCCATTGGGACGATGCGCCGAGGGTTTTTAAGACGCGCCTATAGCAATGTCATGTCCCACCATCGTCCATCTGGTGCGTACTCGAGATAACGTTGGGACACAACGAGACCGACCCAGAACACTACAAGGGATGAGTACATCCGCTGCAATGTAACCAACAACGTTTGGTTCGTCGGCTTCAATTATATGTACCACATATATCCCTCCGCCCTGTGGTAATCATTAGGTATACAGATAACCGCCGGAAGCGAGTTCCCTGCACCAGGTGAGGGGGTTAGGGGGTTTGAGGGGGTCTGTGGCTTGCGACAGGATAGAAATAGGCCCACGACATCATGATGATCGGCCTAAGCAGGCAAGAGACGCAACAAACCGAGGAATAGCAGGATGCTGGATTCAGCTGACGGAAGAGGGAAAGAAGCAGCGTTGAGAGGCGAAGAGTTGGATTGCCTGGAATGGCAAAAGTATCCCGCAGCGGGGTTAGTCATGTGCCGTCAGGTTGTTTCCCATACTTCCTGCTTGCATCTTGCATCACTTCACCACCGTGCAATGCATGGGATTCGTCGCGGCAACGCACCGGGCTTGACCTGTGCCTGCACAAATCCGAAACGGATCAGCCACGCCGGGATCCTGGCAAGTGACTCGACCGTTATTGGGGCTCTTCCCCGGAGTTGATATCTCGGGCTAGTATGTCGATAATCTTGCCCAGGCTGCCACAAGAGATCCCCAAAGACGTTGCTCAACATAAGATGCCTCTGATTAAGCCTCTTTGGGAAGCTTGGCGGTTATATCTCCGAGGAAAAGGACATAGACTAGCAGTGTTGTGCAGATATTGATACATACTTGTCCGACCCTCTCACACATTCGGCAAAGATCTATCAATTATGAGCAGCTGAGATCCAAGAATGATTGATTACCTGTGGCAGTTGTTCTGGCTAGGTCATTGTCTGCAGATAACTACATGCCTGAAAGGGAAAGCATTATCATAAGAGCACGCCCTACACATATCAGACCTGTTGTGAAACCAGGCAAAGTCAATCACAGTTCCTCCTCATACAAAACCAATATTACAAGAACCACCGACAATACTCACATCCTGACTTCCATGAGCATAAATTCATTCACCCACGGACGACACATTGGCAAAAAACAGCACACGAAGCATGCCCCATCCCTGTCTACGTGTTCAAGAACCAGAAACTAGCTATCTCCACGCAAACCCCATAAACCCGAAACAACTACTAGGTGGCAAAACTTCATTGGCAATGCAGGTACCCGGACAGCATAAGTAGATAGTTCCAGGCCGTGGGTCCGTACATACAGATAGACTAAGGGTAGTTAGGTAGGTGATCGTGGAAGTGGCAAAAACGACGTGTGGCTTAGGCAGACTTGATTGGCACTGGAATAGATCTCGAACTGGGTGCGGGAGCGGGTAATCCGTGCGTCGTAAGGTTTAGCTGTCACTTTATGTTCTGGGCCCGGCGCGACTTGGAAAGAACCGGTGAGAAACCGGTTTGTTAGGGATTCGATTGTTGGGCTGGGCTGGGGTTGGGTTCTGGGGCCCGCTACGATGAGATTAAGAGACCATGGATGGACGGATCATGGTACTTTGGTAGTGGTATGGGGAGAGGTAATGTATGGAAACAGATCGATGCCTTTAGTATTCGGTCCGGTATTAAGCCCATTGCAATACATCAGTAATGTAGATGCACTGCATCTTTCGCTATCAGAACAACTTCGCTCCATCGTGGTAAGATTACAGGTTGAACCCAATGATAGCGACATATCTCACACCTATCAATCTTTCAATGCATTCATGCGAATCTCAAATGACGCTCCATGTCCTGACACTTGTAATAATAGAAACACAGATAATGGAAATGGAAATGGAAATGAAACAGAAAAACAGGGGCTAGATGACAAAGAGGTTCGAAGTAGGAAAACAAGAGCGAGGGGAAGGATTCTGTTTAATCCATTAGAGTATGTACTTCAGCTTGTAGCACAGGTCCCTGTGCTTCGATATACACGGAGGTCGACAATATCAGGGGAAAGAATCGATGGAATCTGAGAAGAGCCGCGCCTGATGACGTGGTTTTGCGTAGTAAGTTTTGTTGTAGCCGCCAGGCGGCTATGTTTATCCACCTCCGAAAGGCGAATGGGGGTCCGTTTTAAATGCTTTTTAGCTTCCCCCGCCCCTCTACCCAACGCACCACCGTGAGGATGCATGACGCGTAGACATCGTGATGATCGAAACACCGGAGGTGGGGATTTTTGTCGGAGGGGTGGGGCTGTCGAGTCCATCGTCTCTCCTGTAGTCGAATGAAAAGGAAGTCAAGGATTATGTGACAAATGGGTATCATAACACCGCTGTTTTCGCCGAAACACGCAAATCGAAATACATAGGAGATGTAAATGCAAAACACGAAGAGAGAGGGTTCTGCGACACCCAACCGTTAATCGGGGTTCGTGAGCTGCGTCACGTGTTAGCGTTCCAATATCAGACATCACGATAGGGAAAACATGGGGACTGACCCGCAACACGGGCCGAGAATAATCTTCATTATCCTGGAGTGAGACATCGCTATCTCGGCGGCCATTCGCGTAGAGGACGGTATCGGTTTTCATGCGGTTGTCCGTAAACGTCGGCAAGCGGCTGGCAGCGGACCCGGCAGACAAGGTATGACTATGATTGTCGGAAAACATGCCCTTCATAAAACTCATCTGTGAGCCTTTGCTTTGTCTTCCATCCAGCAGGATGGACTGTACACTTGGATCTGGGCTGTTCGACCGCGATTTGCGTTTCGCGAAGAACAACACGAATATCAAGGCTAGGATGGCGAGGGCACCACCGACAGAGCCTACCACAACACCAGCGATGGTTCCCGAGCTCATACCAGAGTTGTCGCTACTCTTTGCGGATGAAAGGTTGTCCGCTGCAGACGTTGAGGTTGCTTTTGTGACAGCGGGAATTGTGACCGTTTTGACCACCCCAGAGTCGGTTGTGACTGCAACAGATTCTCCTGTCGTCGTAGCAGCAGTAGTTTCAGATGATGATGAAGTCTAGAAAAGGTCAGTCCTGTTCAATATCATAAGCATTGAGACCTGGCAGGTCATTGCGCACTTCAGCGACCGAAGCAGCGATGGCACAGTTGATAGCAGCACTGTCAACAAGCTCGTTCGCTGTGCAAGGCAACGGACCATACGGGAAACGTTCAGCCATGGAAGGCTAGCATGCCTGGCGAGTCGAGACATCGGCAGTGCGCAAATCACGACCCAAAGACTCCGAACGAGTAGGAAAGGGCTCTACTGACCGAGGTTGACGATGTCGATGTCGTAGAGACGGTTGCTGTTCCGGACGGCTGATGTCCAACGATCTCAACGTAACCGTAAAGGCCCTTTGAAGTACTTCCACAGCTATCATCGGGGTAACCGGGACAATCCTGGCTACACTGCGAAGTGTTCACGTTGGTCGCTTCATTGGGAACAATGTTCGAGCACCAGCAGTCGTATCCCTGAAGAATACCAAACGCATAGCTGCTGCAGTGGTCCTCGCAAAGACCATTGGACTGGTAGGTACTTTCGTCTGCATGAGGTTAGTCACCGGATCATGACAACGCCACGAATATTACATACTTGCTGCTTGCGAGGAGCCTGTATTTACTGAAGAACAGTAGGTGAGAGAGGATGCGACCGACACAGGCCAAGCAAGCAAGGCAATCACACCAAGTAATGGTGGAAGAACGAAGTCGGCCCGCATGGCGAAAATTCCGACCGTATTCGTTGACGAGCTCCTGGCGTTTCAACGATTGTGTGCGAGCGAACAGGGATTATAAGGTGGCTCTGATGCCGGATTCAATTGGTCCACGCTCTCACTCTATGGAGGTGTCTTGATAGATGGCCGAGTTCCCCACCGACGGTTTGAAGACTTTTTTCAGGTGTATCAGAATGGCGAATATCCAGAACGCTGCTATGGCCTGCAAGTCGAACAATTGATCCGTCAGGCCCGTGCCCGAAGCGAGTACTATAACGACAGGAGATTCGGGTAGACGTCCCGCAGGTGAAGGTAGACCGAAGATAGCTGATGCCGATCAGCCACGGACCTCCCAGATAACTCTTCGCAAGCTCGACTCCGAATCAGTACGTACCAGATATCAGATGGACGAATTTAGTGTCGTATTAGGAACGATGAAAAAATTGAATCGGTTCAGTAAAGGGGCGTTTTCAACTGCGAGGGAACGCCGAACCAGACATTGGAGGGAATACGGGATCAACACAGCGCCGGTAGGATTAGAAGGTAGTCGGCATCGTCCCCTCCAACCAAAACCAGGGGAGGAGTGTGAATGGCGAGAACGAGGGGTGGTGTTGCGTTCAGGGCGCAGGTGAAGGAAGTGGAAAGGGGGTAAGTATGGTAGAGGAGAGGTAATAGAGAGAGACACAATTGAGGTTGGAGAAAGACAAATCTTCTCGGGGTGAGTCGAGCAGGCCCGAGAGGATGGGAATGGATGAGGAGAGGTGGACTAGACTACGGCGACGCCAGCGGGAAGCCTGCAAGTGGGAGAGGCCGTAGTGGTAAGGAAGAGTGAGTGAGTAAAATGCGAATACCGAAACGGAATCAGGCTGGCCTAGTCCCGATGTTCCACACCAGCGTGGCCACTGCCAGTAACCGTTCTAGAAAGCTGCACCTGGAAATTTTAAATTATTGGGGCCAGGTCAGTAAGTAAAATATCACTCGGAGTACGTTCTCCGTGGGTGCGAGCAGCAGCAGAGCGAGAGAAAGAGGAGGTATATCATGGTGAAATGGAAAGGAAGGTAACGGTACTAATTATGTATGAAGTATGGGGAAAAAGAAAACAAGAGGAAAAAAGAATAAAAATAAAAATCCGGCTTACCCGCTTTGCAGTGGGCCGCTGGCCGCATCGGGTCTAGCGGGCTAACCAACCGTCGGGTCCATACGCGTCGCTGTACGGAGTATTCCTCCCGTCGCTTTTACCTGTTACCAGCCGATTTTGTGCTTGGTACACCCGGATACACCCTCTTTTTTTTTTGGAGGGGCTGGAGTCAAGCATTTCTTTCTCTATCTCGATGATGGGATCTGCCAAATGCCACCAAGCACTCTAAAAAAGACTTCCGCCAACGTGTATGACAACGCTCACGGGGAATACTGACCCTGTGTTTACTTTTCACCAGGAGGAGCTTGGTCGCAGTACTCTTTACTTCACTCCCTCGCCCCCAGTCAGTGGTATTTTCCCCAAGTGGGCAAGCTGACACTCCTGTCCCGAATCATGTATTTGGTAAAAATCGGTCTACACTCGTACCTGGACAAAATACAAATTCCGATCTGCTAGGAGTCTCCTACAGTATGCTTACGGTATGGCGCCACCACGTTGAGAGAAGAGAAAATATTTGCAAAGGTCAACGAAGCCCACTGTAAAATGGCTCTTAAGGGGGGAGGGAGAAAAGGGCAGAAAGAGTGGAAGATAGCGAGATTGATTAAGAAAACACCAACACATAAAGAATGGACAGGACGGTCAGTCAGTCATGCAAACAAAACCTTAGAATCTAAGAGGTGCTGAGCGCCCTTTAAAGTGACTTGATCAAAGGAAACGAAACAATTTCATTAAAAGAGGCAAACTCTATCTTTGTGATCAGTGGCATGTAGTCTGCCTACTGTGAGTGTGTATGTATGTATGTATCTGTTTCTCTGTAAATTCTAAGCTCAGGACCAACGCAATCCTAGTCTGAAACCGCTATCTATCCTTTGCATGGGGCCGCGATCCTCCCATCCCAGAGAGAGAGATACACATTCTGACTTGGTTGCTTATTCTCCTTCCTTGCCTACTGTAGCTTACTTGGATCGGATTCCGGTACGAAGCCAACCAGGACGGGTTTAGCTGCCTATTTTCTTGCCTGCGTCACTTTGTCTGACACAGCGGACGGGCACTTGGAAAAGCTCCTGTGTGAAGTGTTACTGGCTGTGTGAGGACGCCCCGACCGTAGATATGGAGCAACCAAGTGGGCATCGATGTTGGATATTACAGCGTACCCAAGGAAAATGGATCTACCGGTTCAGCCACTTTGTAACCGAGCCAGGTATTCAGCGTTTGAGACAGGGCCACGGCCGCAGATCCTGAACCGTTGATTGGTTGTGGCTGGGCCAGCACTGCGTGGCCCAGTGTAGCTGTCGTCGTACCTGATACGTAGGCAGTCACCATTGAATTCGTTGAAGGATAAGTAGACGTGCGACCAATTGCTGAATAATTATTGTTATTATTTTTTTCGAAAATCTTCATTATTAGTGCATAAATATTTGGGTATGTAAATGGTGAAAAGAAATTACTCTGTCGTAGTCAAGTGACAACGGTCGCTGCCTATTGAGGAGGAGGAGGAGGAGGTGGAAGAAGAAATCACCACTACTTACTTAGCTACCAGACTAGAGGTGGGGGTAAACAATTCCCAGGAGATGATGACTATTTTAGTGTCTAGCTTGCGATAGTAACTAGGACTATTCCGGGCTAGTGCAAGCAAGATAATACACAAGATACACACTGACTGTACAGTGTACAGTAACAAACCCGATATGCAAGGTAAGATACGTAACAAACAAATCATACGGCACTCGCCACCGCACAGGACAACTCCTGGTCTTAGAATCCGCAGCAAGTGGAGTTGCAACCCGGCAGGAAGGAGAGGTCTAGAAGGCAGGATCGGTGGTGCGCTGACCCGATTCCCGCGTATGATGTAAATTATTCCCGCTGCCTCTGGGCTTGGCTCTGTCGCGTCTCTGTTGGTCTGGCCGTGGCTGGAACAAAGTCGAATCTCGAAGGTAAGGGAAAGGGTCAAAGGTGAAGGTACCACAGTAGTAAACTTGGTTGAATACGTCCCTGGGAAGAGAAAGGAGATAACAAGTGGTGGACCGACGGTTTCAGCCGGCCTATCCCGTCTACTCTCCCAAGGATGTCCACCATAGGATCCACGGATGTCCGAAAGTTGGTCAGATCCAGGTGTTAACTAAACAAGCTAACTAGTAAGTTAATCGAAACCAACTTGCTTTAGGCAGTGACAAATCATGCGGTCGCATCTCCAGCTCCTTCCACGGTTAGGAAACCTCGTGTCATGGCACAGGCACGCCCTGCAATTGGATGCTCGTCTGGGCCGCTGCCATACAAGCTTTGCACTATCATAAACAAACCATGTCGCTCAGATGCTGCCATCCGACATCATGATTACATACTTCTTAATCTTGACTCGGTCCATCATCGTGGGTGCTAAAGTATACTTCCGGTGAAGAGCTTCGGGGAGGATTCAGTCCTGTAAACAGGTGGCATGGGGCCAACGGGCTCCCTCCGGAGCTCTTAGGCAGCAAGGTGTTGCTCACTTGCTCCGTACTTCTGTTGCTTGCAGCAAGGCATCGGCATCACTGCACTCACTTCCTGCGAGGTAGCACGGAGAATTTGTTGCATTTGCACCCTGCGACTTCATCGCCAGGTCTTGAAACGATCGCATTGCTGGGAAGGCTAGGTAGACACTACTCATATATATTGAGTCGTGTCTTCCTCTATCTACAAGAACGATGAGAAAAGATCGACAATATTCGGCTTGGTATCGAAGGGATTCCAAGCTTTGCGATCGATCATCGTGGGGTCTTATTGCGATATATACATAACATGGTGCCCGCGGCCCTCCCGTAATTCTTTGCCCCTGTCAGCAAGCCTCATTAACACCCAAGCGGACATGAGATCGCCTTTCTTGAGCCAGATCAGAAGAATATGCTTGGGACAGACACGAGAAGTCTGGCTGTGCTCTCTATCCAGAGTGATTAAACCCCCGTCCTTCGATAGCATTGTTTCCGACTCTGCTAACGGTACGGAACAGCACATGATAACGCGCTAGACACATTCTTGCCTGGTGCTCCGGACATGCATCCATATCCCTGGAGTTGCACTAAACTACTGCACCGTCGATAGTGCTAAGCTATTGGCATTTTTGTCATCTGGCCAATGAGCTGTGCAAAGCCCATCTACCCAGACAGGCGATGCGAGGATGACGCCAGTAACTTAAATTTCTGAAACCCCGCCTTTCAGGTTCTACCTTCCTATCACACTACTATTTTGTGGTGCCTTCGATCGAGTCAAAACTCCCGGTCATATGGTTTGCAGTTGGACTACTGTCCGCCTACCTAGCGGGGCATGTTCAGCACTCGTCTAAATCACCCTATGGTATTGATAGGGACCGTCTATCTGTACCCAGTACTTCCACTATACGGTCGATCAGAAGACAGACTATTCCTTTTTTTGCTGGAGCCGCATGATGATGGCATGAGCAGCTGAACAGTTTGGCCTAGAGTTGACTCGCAGCGGAATGCCCTTCGTTCTTAGCCTTTCAAACAGATATGAAGGGGTACCCTCACGGGAACTACGGCAATGCCGACCGGGCGACAGCCAGATCGCTAGCCTTATCTGTGAAGCCATCCGCAAGGGGGTGATAGCATTGATATCGCGGTACCAAGGGGATATAGTGTGCCAGTGAACCATGGAACCCGAGTGTGGCTGGTGCGGCCATCAGAAACAACCCGGGACACGATCAGACTATCGCAATGTCAGCAAGGTTACCAAATCACACACAAACAGAATTTGCCGGGCCGTAACTAGCCCAGTGCCCATCGCACTATCCTTAATATCGGCATTTGGTATTACTTACTCCATGTGGAGGACTCCATCACGATGATCGCTCTTCCCGCAAAAGCAATGTGGCTGAAGGGAGCGAAGCAAAAACCGGAACGGAATCCAGGGCGTGAGCTGATTAGTCACATGCCGATCCGTGATTCGTAAGCGGGGCGCGGTCCTTCTGAAAGTAGTTACTCTCACTTCATCAGTCAGCAGGCATCTTTCCATCTCCCCTGACCTCAGTGTGTGCACTTATGGGGAAACTGAGTAGAAAGAACTCCCTAACATTGCTAGATAATTCAATAAACAAACAACACTATACTTCCATCTACCACACCAAAAACGAAAAACAACAACAAAGACCCAAGCACAAACAACAATCAATCAATCAACTATGAGTCCACCCATACAAAAATAGTAGCACATCGGCCATCCCTTTGGTGGACACTTAATTTACTCTAGCGGCGTATTTTTCATCTCCTGGCAATTTCCTCCGTCCGGTCCTAATTTTGGTCAACGGTAAACAATAGCAGCACCACCATTTCATTCCCTACGATGGAGCCCGGAAGGGCTGCCTCGCTTGACTAACTATTTACAATCTACCAGACCAGTCAAGAATAACTCTCAGACCTACTAAGAAAGTGGAGATATATAGCTGTCATTCGATCCTACGTACACCAGTCTATCTATGCCTGCTATTCACAGTATGCAGTGTCATTCTACCCGATTCTTTATTAGGTTATTTATAGATGTACTATCTACTCATGGGATACTCATCGATGTTCACAGTTTACACAGACGCACGCATACACAGTGCACTGACACATGACATATTTAGAAGTACTACTATATCATCCTAGAAGTAAGGCCAGAGCAAGACAAGAGAGCCCTATAGCCAAGTAGTCACACCCACACCCACACACCCATCATCCCTAAATATACCACTCGCTCAATTAATAGCAACAATAGAGTAAAAATAATAGACACATCACATGAACTCCCCCCATCCTTCCCATCCCTCGAATCCCCATCACTAATCACTCCTTATATTCAACTAAACAACCAAAAATCCACACACATAACATAATATACTTACACACCAAGTACCTACCTAGACCATAAGACCATACAGTATATTCCCACAAAGAAAAGAAAAGTATATAAAAAAAATAGAAAATATTATGTGACTCGTCAAATTAACGGGGGGCCGAAACCCCGAAATTCTGAAACATAAGGTACATAGGTACATTTTCTCATCCCTGTAGATACATACATACATACAACACAGATACAAGTATGTGTGTGTTATAACTGCGTAATGCATGATCATCTGCATGGACGGGTTGTGAGGCTGATTTGGGTATATGCTATGCTTTTGCTTAGGTTTCATTTTTAATCTATTTTTTCTTTCTGGTAGTAGTAGACGGGTTGCAAGCGAGAATGGTAAGTACTAGGGAATGGGGATTGGGATTGGGGGCTGCTACTACTTACTGCTTGTTGTTGTCGTTGGCGTGGCTTGGCTTGGCTTGATTCGATTCGAATTGTGGATGTGGGTGAGGCGCAGCAGCAGCAGCACGGTGCGATTGTGTTGGTTAATTTTTATTGCTTGGTGGGTTTGGGTTGGGGCTGTTGTTGGTTCTCTATTGATTAATTGTTGTTGTTGTTATTGTTGTTGTTCTTGTTTATGGTTTACTGTCTTTGGTTTAGGTGGCTAGTTAGCAACTAAGCAATTAAGCAAGGCACTAGATACTATTCATGTATTGCTTCATCCAAGGTGAGGGTATATAGACAAGTATGATGTGGTCTGGAACCTGACAACAACAACGGCAACACGGGTATCTGGGAACCCAAACAGACTCGGGTCTGCATCCGACCAGGGTATATTGGAGCTGTAGTATAAGTCCAACAAAAGAAGAGTCCGCTGTTTCACCACCGCCCTGGGCGCTGAGGGCCCCTCCAGCGGTTGCCCTCGACGACCATATCCCGTTCCTTCTTTCTCCGCTCATCCCGAACGAAGCGGGGAGGTGGTGGTTGATTGTCGAGAAGCAGGGGCGCTGCTTTCTCGGCTGCAGGTATCAGAGGTGGTGGAGGAGGAGGAGCAGCTACACGAGGCAGAGATGCTCGCTCACGGTGGATCTCTTGGATTCGACGACGGCGTGCACGCCGAATCTCTTCCGAGCGCTCAATGAGTGCGTCGACGTCGTTCTATGCGGGTCTGTCAGTAGGGGATAGACAGGTGGCACACAAAGAAAAGTGAAACATGCCTGCTCGAGGTAGGAAAATATGTAATAGAAGGACTCGGTCTCTTCATACTCATAGCCAGACCGCTCAAGGGCCTCTCTCACTATCAGGTCCTTTGTAATCTCCGTCCAAAGGCCGTCACGACGGTCTTTGAGTCCAACGTATCGTCGTCCTATTCGCCCAAGTTGTCGTTCCGGGATATTGTCAGACTCTTTCACGTCTTTAACAACAAGCTTAGACTCACGATCTCCGTATCGTGAAGGCTTGATTTCTTGTGTCACTATCTCAGTCCGTTTCTCTTCCTTGGGTTCGGCTCTGACAATATCCAGCTCCTCCATGGTCTTAATGTCCTTCCTAGGAGGAGTGCGATGCCCACGGAGCCTGTAGAAATCCTCTTCTTCAAATTCTTCTTCGACGAGCGACTCTCGGCTACCATCCCGCCGTATCACTGTAAGCCTTTCCTTTTCGCGCTCCACTGACCTAGGCCTGGGAGGGTCGACGATAGGTACAACCTTGTCCCGCCGAGGTTGAGGGAATTCCTCCTCCTCCCGTCGAAGAATGAGGACCTCTTCCTTGTCCCGTCGTCCTTTCCGGCGTCTCTCACTATGCAAGGGTGAGCGGCTTATAGTTGAAGATATGGCTTGTCCAGACATACCGTTCGCGAAATTCTGCTTCTGTAAGTGTGATCTCAGGGCTATGAGCTCGAGACATGCTAGGCTTTGTTCTGAAGCCTACAAATGAATGTGAATGAGCACTGCTGGGATACAAAGGGAATAGAACAACTCTCACCATCACGAATAGGTCTACCATGCCCCGGCGAAGGAACTCTAGGGATTGCAATTTCTGGAGATGACGACCTTTCCCGTCTTTCGAAGATAATCTCCTTTTCCTCAACACTTCGCTCAGGTCTTCTTTCCCTAGGGTCCCAAAATGAGACTTCCTCCTCATCGACCTCTTCATCGAGCTCGTCGTCAGCATCATCTATACTTTTGTGTCGGTGTGATCTGTGCCTGTGTCGCGAATGCGATGACCTCTCATAGAAAGGGCCACTGCGGTGCCTCCTATGGTGTTCCTCCACCTCGGGCCTTCGAAGCCGCACGTCACCTTGCTTAAAATCCATTTCTCGCAGTCTTCTTTCCTCCAGAAGACTCCGACTGCGTGGTTTAGGTGCGGCCTCTGGAATATCATACCTGCGGCGATGCACCGGTCGTTCTTTTCTCGGTACGAGAACGATATCACTGTCAGACTCGCTATCAGTGTATCTTCGGTCTGTTTCCTCGCGAAACGTGATCTCCTCCTCTATATCCCGGTCCCTCGAACGAGGCCGTCCGCGAAAAAGGGGTTGTTCATCCCAGTCTTTTTTCAAGCGGCGCGGTCTCTCACGAGGTGGTTCAAGGTCTTCTGGCTCACGCCTCAGGATTGGTGGCGCTAAATCACGAGGATAGCCATGAGGCTCACGTAAAATCTCCGGTTTTCTTTGAGCTTCCAGGTGTAAGCGTTCAAGTTTGTCAAGCGGTAGTCCCTCCGATCCTCGACGTTTGTATCTTATATCTTCCTCGAAGAAACGCTCATCCCTGCCTCGTCGTGGATACACATCACGCTCAACTTCGTACATGTCCTCCTCGTCGTATTCTCGAGCACGACCTCGTCGAGGCATGGTGTGTCGTTAAGAATAAAGGAAGGCCACACTGGCTAAAGATATGCGCACTAAATGTAGTTCTCAAAGAGCGACATGTAAAAGGTAAACAGCAGGTTCTCGCTATGCGGTTAAGACTGGTGTGCGACGTTCCTGAGCAGCAGCTGTATGAGCGACGGAGCAGGCAGGAGACAGGAGCAGCTGCTATGCGACAGAAGCACGGCACTAGCAGGAGACGATCAAGTCATTCCACCGTAGGAAAATCAGCCTGACGATAACGTTATTCCTATTATGTCAGTGATGGTAAATCTCTGGTTGCAAGATGATAGGCATCCGAGCGAGTCCAGCCTGGAAGCGACCCCGCGGCTGAGTCGGCTGATGTCATGCTGCAGCACGGGTTCTCTGCCCGAGAAATCTTCCCAATGCTCGTTGGATACGAGCCACCACATTATCCTTTGAGCTGGTGGAATGATTCAAATGGCTTGTATAGATCTTCAAGCCATGTGGAAATGATGTAGAGAGTTGAATACTAGTGAAAGCCTAGCGAAGTCGTGGAACCGTGGTTCAGCTGGCGGGATTGTATGTTGTTGGCTGAGTAGTTAGTACGATGATGATATATTATTCATCGCCACAACTCAAACAGGGTAGATCTGGTCGATGATTGGCGAGATGCTAATTAGCACCATTGATGTTGTTGGTATGGTAGTAGTAGTAGTAGTATTATTATTATCTAAAAGTGAGTGGGAGCAAATGTATTCCGTGGCTCGCTTACCACTATATATTGTGCAATCATGGTTGGTGCCTTGAGTTTAGACACAATTGGGAAATCGTGACTTGAGGCTACTAGTAATCAGTGACAAATCCTGAAAACGTGACATACACAGCATTCAATTATTTTTTGATTCCCAGAGTATCTGGATTATATACTATATACTGGTATCTCGCTACATACGAGGTTAAGCCTTACCCGAATTTGAGACGAGTCTGCCCCTTCTCGGGCTTACCCCGATTGCTACGATTGGCTTTATTACGAGCATTAGATGCTCCGGGTTTGCTTGTGGGTACTGGAGACTGTTGAGGGACGCTGGATGCCTGTCGTTCTTCATCTGCCAGGTCTTTGGCAAAGTGCCAATCATCATGTTCACCCCTCTCGTGCTCTGGTAGTACGCTTCCGCAGCGACTGCAGGTATAACCCTCTGGCAACGTTTCTGTTAGCTCAGATGAGGGGTCCTTGGCCTGAAGGGCTGAATCCGTATGCTCGTTGAGCTCGGTTCCCATATCTTCTGCTTCAGGATCATCCTGGTCAGGGTGTAGGTCAGTCTCCGGCGGCTTGAGGAAAAACCGCTTGATGCCATTGTTTTCCAGCTTCTGGCGTTTCTCATCGGGTTGCTGAGCATCCGACGACTCTTCAGCCATTAGATCCCTCTTCGGTTGTGAGGCTTTTGCCTGTTCACCGCGAAGGAGGAAAGAGTCTATTGCCCGGTTCTTCGAGACTCCGTCTTCGAACCCACCAACACTCAACGAGAGATTGGCGCAGGGCCATGCACGTCCGTCTGCTATGACCTGTCGGAAGAGTGTTTTCCCAAGCTCAAACAGTAATGTTTCATCAATGGGTACTGATCCGGGAATGGGAAGTTGACGGGAGCGAACCTGAGCTCCTTGACGGTGATGCAAAGCAACTGTTTTGGGGCGGCGCTTGTGCTCAAGAACGCCATCCTCAACAAGGCGGCCAAAGATATCGGCCGCAAAAATACTAAGCCATTTGTCTGCCTGGTCAACCGAATTTATGCTCGGCCTGAACGACTTGGCTGAAAGCATCGATTTGATTTGGGTCCGCGAGTTGACCTCACTTTTGTCTTCTCCCCGGATGATTCCATAAAGCCAGGTAGCAGTATCGTCATCCAATTTGGCGCGAAATTGCTCGAGAGACACCTTCAGAAGGTCACTCACTTGTTCTGTTCCAAACATTGCGGTAACCTGGTCACCAAGTTTACCCCCAAGCATCCTAATCTTTGTGAATTTGTAGCCACTGAGAAATCGTTGTACAGCACGGTTCCGAACAATGGTCTGCTTATTCGGTTTGTTGCAGGCGCTCCCTAATTTGGCCATCATTTTGTTCTTGGCCACACCCGCAGAGCAAGTGTATTGGAGCTGATCCCAAACAGCTGCCCTGACCGACCGAATGATTTCAGACCCTATCAGCATAGCAATGTCGTCCCAGTCGGGGTCATCAACTTCCGTCTCATTTTCGTCAAGATCGATCAAACAATCCTCAAAGTCCCACTCAAGCGCAGTCGTAGGCGGGACAGGAAGTGGAGTGACTCGGTCATCGCCTTGCAATTCAGCTCTCAGTTCCGGATACCGTTGAAGGAGGACACCGTGCACAAGAGGTGACAGATCAATGAAGACTTCATCAACGCTAGCTTTCTCAAGACCAGCGTGCTGTATGGTAGACTGAGCGCCAGCCCCATGTTCATCACCAACCAGCTCCCTATGCCATCTCGCCAGTTCCTCCTTCATCACCTTCAAAATTTTGCGCGATTCCGCCCGGTATGGATCGAGACACACCTTATCGGTGTTCATCCGCTTGAACGCATCGTTTCTGTATGCCCATTTCCCACCTTCTCCTTCCCGGAACGTGGCCACATGTTGTAGGATAATATCCGGACATAGCTTCTTAGCCTCTGCTGCCGATATCATTCTCGTTATACCGAAGGATCGTGCTGGATAGTTTATCGCAATGAGCGAGTCCCATTGTCGTACAGCTAAGGGCACCGTGCGGGGTGTCCTAAGGCGCACCATTTCACATTGTGCGTAGAAGGCATCGAGATCGACATGAGCAATCACTCGCAGGGGTGTTGCTGTTGAACTTTGACGGAGAAGCTGTAGGTGTCGATAGGTGTAGCGTGATTCGGTCTTCAAGGAATCGGCGGACGTAAAAGTCGACGGGACGGGTTCCGGGGAAGAGCGTGACATATTGAAAAGGGTAGTGCTATAGTCATTGCGGAACGTAGAGTAGCGACTTCACGTCAACTGAGATCAGATTGCTGTAGCTTGGATGTGACACCACCTTCTGTGAAGAAGTCGGGCTGAAATCCGCGCTGGAAGCCATGATCTGAAGTTGCAACCGTTGACTCGGGAAGACCACTTCCCAAAGAGGATTAGCTTGGATTTGTCGAACGGCCGCATCGCGATCGAGTCAATCTAATCGACACTGCAACGGGAGTATACTGGTATGTCTCCTTCTTCTGGATTCATCCTTCTAGTGTGCTTCAAACGACCTATGGAAAACCGTTTTTAGCTTGATGACGCTAGGTATTGCTTCGAGTTGGAATTCGAATTTGCTGTTTATTCACTTTGCTTACAATGTACTGACGACACCGCTATGGCTACAGGAAGCAGTAAATGCGTTTATGCGTGTTCCCGACCACACAAGGAAGGATCATTTAGCTAATGCAAATAAGGCATCAATGAAAAGACTTTACTGATAGAGATTTGATTTCATCCCAAAGATCAACGTGGAGTCATGAGGTGCATGTCGGACCTCTGATCAGATGAAGGGGTGATATCATCAAACTCAGATTTTCAATAGATCTCAAGCTTGGTCGGTCACATGGTCCTCGCCAGTGTTTATTGGCATGATCTTCCCATTGCAAGCACAAAGCAGAGTGTCGGGCACCCATTCTCTTGCCCCCTCTAGATGTCTTACTCAAGGCATCTGCCGAGTCAGTTGTCAAATGAAGGCAACAATATCATTCGATAGCCTTGAGTTTTCCAGACTGCAAGACCGCGCAGACTGTAAAATTGACTGAGAATGCAATATCTCCATGGCGCTTCATACTTTTCAAACTATTAATGTTCATGCATGAGTCTTCGGTGAGATTAATTGTGATCTGATTTGAGCAGGCAGCATATGCATGATCATTAAGTACAGCATGTATGCCTTCTTTTTCTTCACCTGCGAACTCGATAGGGTTGATGCAGCCACTATGGAGACCATGCGACAAAGAAGACACCTGGACGGATGTCATTCGAGCAAAGGATGGGTCCCCAAAACTTGGTACATGGGGTCTCACCGCCATGCTGATACTATACTATACTATTGCGGAACGGTGACCCCTCGGTGGTGGGAAAAAACGCCTTGTCGGACTCTGAAAATGGGTCGGGAAAGTGTGTGACACTCCATGTCGGGACACAGTTGGCGTGATGGGAGTTTGGTGTGTGTGTGAAGGAGGGTGACAGCCGCGCGAAGCAAAGTTAAAAAACCCCAAGAAGGCAACAGGGAGCATCTGATGGTGTTACAGAAGCCAGATGCCATGCTTCGAGACCGCAAAGACCGGTTAGTTAGGTCCGTCGGTGGCTGTTCACCTCTTGAGGGTGTGGTCGCGAATCAAGGAACATCCGACCAGTTGCTGTAAGGGAACCGAGATGGTCGATCATGCAGCTGGCCAAGGATGGTCAAGTGTTCTTGCCAGATTGCTTTATGAAGAGGGGGCTGTGGGTGTGTGTGTGAACTGTGCAGACGTACTACGTACTCTCCTGTCTACTATCCTTACAGTTCGGAATACCCAAGAGGGATACGAAGTTGTGGAAGGAGAGTTACGAGATGCTGTTGCTATTCGCTCAGTTTCTGGTACTCATTCCATATTTTTCTTTCTTCCCCTTTGAATAAAAAAAATTGTTTGTTATCTTCTAGATTCACCGAGAAGTCTTCTCTACTATGTATTCTTCATCTCATTTCGATCGATACCAAAGTGGGATGATTCCCACACCCTTCTCCGCTTCCCTCATTTAGATCCCTGTCAGATAGACTCACAAGTCACCACGTTAGATTAGTAGTAGTACCAAGATTGGAATTCCCACCGGGAACCAAACAAGCGAGAGAGCCATCACAAGAAACGCCCCCCCCATCCAGCGCTCTAAGCGGGATGAATGGAAAGTTCTCATTCATGGGTTTTGCCCATCCCCAGCCCACTTGAATGGAGGATCGAGGATGATCCTGAAGGAGGAGAGTGATGATTGAGTGAGGAGGGTAACCTTCCTTGGGTGGGAGTGGAGAGCGGGCAGAAGAAAGAGAGAGAGAGAAAGAAAGAGAGATAGATTACTAGTGGCAGGGACACAAACGGGCGGATGAGTGCCCAAAGCCGCCACGCATTCCTGCCCAACCTGTAGTGTCCACCCCGGGCGCCAATTTGACTGGCTGGTGACAAGGGCGGGTTCGGCAGCGACAGATCCTTGGGTTCTTTAGTTGCAGATTGAGCGGGAGCACAAAGTACCCAGTGGACTAGTTGTACTTTTCCTCTCTGCGTGAACAAGCTAGTCGCTACCTTGCAGGTACCAGATGCGACCGATTCGACGTGAAAAACCCTTGTCTGGGCTACGGAGTACTCCGTGCCTAGTCTAGTTCCTTTTGCTACTAACGATGGCGTTGGGAGTACTTCCGTTGTCGTTCTGCATGGGTATAGGGAAGTAACAGTTCCGTAGCAAGCCTCTTTACTTTGTGGTACTTTGGTTTGGTTAGTTACCCAGCCCAGCCCCCTCCCCATCCCCTCCATCAAGCCGATCAAGCTGGGGGTGATTCCCGTAAGGCAGGCAGCCGCTAACTACTTACTCAATATGTGCAGCAATTTAAAAATATATGTGGTCAAAAAGGTAGCAGTAGCTTTGAGGTTCTCAGTCGTGCAGGTGCACAAAAGCAAGAGCGCCCAGTCAATGTAACAATTTTAACCAATAACTCTGAATGGTTCTGATATACTACCCCGTACATATCCCTGAATGCATTTTGATGCCTCGCAGCAAATAGTTTCAACTGCAGCCTCCTGTCATCATCATCACAGTCACCGCAATTGACAACATGGACGCACAATTTATTATTTGTGCCGGTACTCCGTACTCCGTACCACTGGGAATGAACCCTTTCTGTGTGTAGTTGCGGCTGAGTCATCCAACGCTGGACAGACCGACGAGAGCCGGGGGAACCGTTGAGATACATAAGTGTGTAAGTAACTGCAAGGTTCTTCTTCTCCGTCGTGCATCCATCTGGTTGGTGGGTGGAAGCAAGCATTACTTGTGCAGTGCAGGAACAGCAAGAAGTAGGCTGAGAACTATTAGCTTACTATTGAATAGGAGCATACAATAATGAGGCTATCCAAATATCGTATCATGTTATATCGCTGCCCGCAATTTATGATACTAACTAGTAGTATTACCGTTGAGCGGCTATCCATGGATCCATGGCCGGACACCCAAACGGGCAGAATTTCTCCGCGGTTCAATCAACCGTGGCTCGTGATTCTTCGGGAATATGTAGAAGTCTAAGTAAATAGTAGGGATCTATCTACCCAACTATGGGACTGACTGGCAACAACAACTATGAGCATAGTTAAGAATAAAATACACAGATAATGGTGCTATAAGGCAATGTTCATGTTGTTAATTTATTGGTTAACGCTTTTAATTAATTATCAGTAGAAAATATATGATTATTATCATTCACTGAATCAATGCCCTCCATTAAGAGAAATCAAATAATCATCATAAATCTATTCAAAATTGAAAATAATAATAAAAAATAATTATTTTCCACCCGTTCGCCGCCCTAATAGGGGAGATCCTCGAACGCCATCCGCATCATCATTGCCCATGGGTCAGCGTCAGCATCCCACCAGCTGCATCAGCAATAATAATAATATTATCCATCCATACTATTCACAATCAAGCCGCACGGGTAGGGGCAGGAAAATCGTCTGCACCATCGCCTTCCATGACCCCGGCGGCTACGCCTCATTAGTCGATGCAAGTTTCTAGTGGGAGTCATCGCGCGCTCATCGTGCTGCCGGAGAGGGTCTAATCGTCGGGTTGGGTGGAGTCAGTCGTGGCACCAGACATGGCCAGGCAGCCCAAAGATGGCCCAACAGCCCAATCATCCCAATCATCCCCCCTCGGCCAGCTTCACCTTCGCGATACTCCACTGGCTGCCCGCCCCCCCTCTCTCGTCTTCCCTCTCTCCCTCTTTCCCTCTTGTGTCTTGTCATTCATTAGATACACAGTAACTTACTACTACTACTTACGAGACTAGTTAGTCGCTCGCTGCTCCTCTTTCGCCGCCCGCCCTGCAGGTTTCTCGCCCTCTTATCTTTTTTTCCTCCCCGGCTTGTCTCATTTTTTTCCCTTTTCTCTTTCCCCCCCTTCTCTTTTCGCCGCCGTAACCTCCCATACAAACCTTCTTCCTCCCGCTTCCTCCTCCCACCCCCCCGACTCCGAAACCTCTCCTGCTTCTCTCTCTCTTTCCTCATTCTTCCACCTCTCTCTCCCCTTCCTTCACTCCCTCCCTCCCTCTCTCTCTTCCCCTCTGGCCTGGTTATTCCCTGCCAGTTCAAAAGGTAATAGAGTCTGTGTCCGGGAGCGTTGAAGTGAAAATACACAATCCACCCACTGTTCAAAAGAACCGGAGATTCCACCCAGGAGAAAAATAAAGGCCTATTTTCTCCCTCATCTCCCTCTTCTCATTCACCTGAGATTATTCTTCATCATTTCGAAGTTCACATTCACACGTTGAGCTCTCTCGTCTCTTCCTCACCTGCCGGACCTATTGAAGGACGTTACTGTCTCTTTCGTTTGCGACTTGCTTAATGCTGGAAGTGACCTATATACTTTGCATCCATCCTTGACAACCTCCGTGGACAAAACACGCTCTCACCGGGATTTGTTTCTTTTATTCTCTCGGAGCAAGAGCCATATAACCAACCCTGGGATTCCACCGCTCTTCTAAGTCGCCTTTCGTGTTCTGCATGTGTGCTTGTGTCAACCAAAAGTCGGATTAGCCTTATTTCTCAGCCTTGGAGTTTCCGGACGCTGTCTCATAGAACTGTACTTCGTGCTGTTTCTTCTTCCCCTCAACCAACCCCCCATCTCCCCAAAAGAGACCATCTGCCACCACCTTCCTCTGGACCCGTCGGCTCTTCCTGATTTCCCCGGACCTCATTTGGCCATTTGGACCCGTTGCCTATAATTACATTAATACTGGAGACCGTATCCTGGAACAAACAAAAACAAAAATGACTGGCCGTCTTGGATATGAGGGGCGCCCGGAGCGTCAAAACGAATACTTCATTCCTGGCGATGGTATCAGCCGGGAAGTCATCCAAGCAGACATTTGCCGTTACCTTGGAAATGATGCGCTCGTAAGACCTGGAAACCACAATGTCTGTGCCCCGCTGCTTTTCCTATGCAATTTTCTAAGATTATACGAACAATGACGCGAACATGGGCGGGATCTGCCTTCTGGACGAATCAGTAACTGACTAGATGGGAAACAGGGTCGTCAGGGTTATTTCATTCGCGCCTACCGGAATCTCACCTCTGTATGTTGTATTTGGTTTTGCGGTATTCCCCAGGCGAGGAAGAATGTGTCCGACTAACAAATGGCTTGTGCTGCAGGAAATGATTGCTGACCTCAAAAAAGACTCGGCTCGGTGGGAGGCCGATGTTCTACGTCGGGCTGACCAGGGCTATCCCAGAGGTAGCTACCAACAAGAATTAAGCTATTCCCAGGCACCCAGCATGCCCGCGGCGTCCTACCCGGTATCTGCCATTCATGAAGGACGTCAGCAGGGAGGCCCATCCCCTCCACCTGCCTACTCAGCTCCTCCCCCTACTCAGCCATTCCCGGTGGATCCATATGCACAATCGTACCAGGCGACTCAGAGTCCCCCGTACCCACCTGCATCAACTTACACCGGCCCCAACCATTCACCCTATGGATCTGCCCCGAACCCCTACCCTAGTGGTCAGATCCCCTACACTACTTCTAGCCAACCTCCGGTGACTGCGGAAATGCACCCGTCGTCATACACGTATGGCCCTGGCTATATTTATGAGAATGGAAGGAGCAATGCCCCCAGGTATCCCGGGCCTGGCTATGAAACCGAACAGGACTATTCTCCAGTTACTACCGGGATCCCTTACCCTACTACCACAGCCCCGGACCCTCGGATAGGAATGGATCCCAGATACACTCCTGAGGCATCATACCCTCCGGCAGACCGCAATAGGCCACAACCAGCCAGAGGCGGGGAAGCCCCTCGCCGGACTAGGTAAAGAAAGTCAATGTCTGCTTTCTACGGGCGTATATACTATGAACCCTTTGTCCTTAACAGTCTATATCGTACCTGGGATCTTGCAGATATATCCACACTTCTGCTTATCCTCAGAGCCCTGAAGGACCACTCTTCCTTTCTTTGCGTATAGGAACATGAGACCGGAAGGAAAAGCGTGCATCATCGTTTGTCGGAAACAATTTGCAACTACCGGAGCCACATCCTTGGATCATCGGATATTATTTCTCCTGGACATCCATCCATCTTATCTCTGATATACTCTTGACTTTCCACCCAACGTCCATGGAGACGTTGCCTCGCGCTCTTGGTTGGCCTGGTTATCGCTCCATTGCGCGAGGCCCACGGCCGTCTTTTTCTTTGGTGTAAAGCTTGGTCGACCCAAGCTATAACGTGATGGATTTACGAGGAGGCATTTTGGCTTTGTCTGTTGTAATTCCAGCCATTGCTGTGCTTTGTCTCTTTTCTGCCTTGCTGGGTTTTGGTTTCCATTGTCTGGTCATTCTGTGGTGTATTGGTCGTGGAATTCTCATGCGTTTGTGCCACAGTCTTCATTCTTCGATCGGTGTTTTTTCGACCATCTCCTACATGTTGAGTCCGATGGAGCGCCAACTGATTTCAGGAAAATATCAGCCGGGAGCTTTTGATGACATACAGTGATGCTGTTCACGAGCTATATGTAGATATGAGCATATACGGCGTTATTTTTTGTGGTTCGCTGGTTCTTCGATGGTTATGCATTGACCCAGGGGTATAATAATCGACTTACAAAGTCAAGTCAGTGTGTTATCTTGTACTTGACCCCTTGCCTGCGCGCACCTTGAAACGCTATCCAATTGCAAGTGACTGTCTGCATGCCTTGCCTTGCTCTCCGAATCGTATGCACAGAAAGCTAATTGATGTAAATAATAGAATCTTACTTACTGAAGCGGCATGAATCCAACATTGCCGGTATCTGCTTGTAATGATGCTATTACCTTATCTCAAATGCCTCCAGCACAATATGTACATTATGTACCCTGTTCCAATACGTGTAGAACAACCTGTGTATTCGTATCGGTTGCGACGGCATGCCGAGTGAAAGCCCTTTCCTTATATACAAATTTTATATACAACTACCAATACGGAAGCCCGCCTCTCACATTGTCTTTTGTTCCAACTTATGCCAGTGATTTCGAATTGTAACACGCACCGAAGTTGACCTCTGTTAACCCATTCACCATATAACACTTGTGTCTTTTATAATAGAGATCCGGACTGGTATATTGTGAAGCACCAAGCAAGTTCAAGGCAACGATGCAATCAGTCACTTCCAGTCTCTCGGCGTCGTTCACAAGGCCACCTCGCCATAGAATGCTCATGATTCTCTTTTTGCACCATTCCAGAGACTGCTTCTTGCACTGCTTCAGCGACAAGTATCTGGAAAATATACTCAGTTGCATCAACTATGTCCGTCTTGGATTTTCCGCAGTACGCTGATGGCGACACCAAGCTCGCCATCCACCCGGATGGTTACCGCTTGCATTCGAACAGGCTCTGCGAACACTCAAGGGTTCTGAGGTGCCTGCTAGGACCGCCAAACGAAGTCCACCCAGTGCCACATATCCAGGGGATGGATCATTTAGGCGTGTATAACCTCTACCTTGTTGGTGACGCAGCGCATAAGTTCGGGGTCTTCCAGCTCCAGGTAAGTAGACGCCTTATGATCAGGGTATATCTGTGGCAGCTGGTCTAACGAGCACTTACAGGTGCCGCGTCAGTTTACGAGCGAGGTCAGAGGCTTTCAGGCTGTGGACTACATCCCAGTCTGGCCTATGAAAACCCGTCGGTGTTGGGAGAACATCTTTAGGATGTTTTATTTGCTGCCGCCAGTCCTCCACGATGATGGATTGGAAAAGAACTTTCTTGACAACAGTTTGAGAGTTGCTGAATTGGCGTTGGAGATCGAAGCGGAAGATTATATCTTTCCTATCCTCGGCGCAGCACTGGAGGGCTACGAGCAGGAGCTGTATTATTCTATCTCGAATGACCCGATCGGTTGGGTGAACCTGGCCGTACGAATCCAGTCAGCCACAATTTTCCGAGAAGGCATTATTCACATCGTTGGCCGCTGGAACTATGTGACGGATGAGGGCCACGCTTTGCTCCCTGGTCAGATCCGTCAGCTTTGTGAAAGTAAGCATAGAGATCTGCAATACGACAAACGGATGATAGAAATGAACATCCTCAACCACCCCGTCGCTGATCCAAATGATAGAGACATCTACATGTGGATGGCTAAGGCCTTTCATCAGCAGTGGCTAGGAAATGCCATAGCTGAACACCAAACATATCGTTCTTTGGATGGTGGGGCTGCGTTTTATCGCGCCATCAATGCTGGCGGCAATGCCTACCTTCCGGTGCTCGACCCTCAGACCAACCTCATCATACTGCCCATTAGGCAAGACGAGGTTACACTCGTCGAAAACCGCCTGAATGTCTTGAAGAATGCTGTAAAGCATTTGGTTGATGACCTACTGCGTAACAGATCGCGGTTCGACCCCTTAGTATGGGGCGAACTACATTACTTGACATGTTGTGAAGTTAATCATAGTGATATCCCTTGGCTAGCAGATAGGGCTGCACAGGAAGATGTAGCTCTTATGCATACCATGAACCCTGTCTTCCCCCGAATGTACAGCGACAACATTAATGTCGACATTCGACAAAACCAGACGCCTCGCATTCCCCAGATAGTTATCGAGAATCCTTTGCCGGAAAATAATCCCCAGATAGTTACCCGGCGTCTCGCATCTCTCTACTCCCCATCACTGGAAATGTCCCCTGATCGCAACCCTAGTCAGCGCCGGAGTGAGCTGACTTACGCTGTCCATGAGCCCGACTTGTCATCGGATAACTCTCAAAGCAGCTTCAATAGCCCGCCTCACTGGGATGAAGAGGATGATTCAACGGCGCGAACAGAAGCCGAGCACCCAATGATACCGGCTTTCGATGATTTTATACAGACATATCCTCAGATGTTAAGTGGGGAAGATATTGGCTTAGTGACTTATGCGAGCCCTGTCTTCATGTCTATAAATGTCAATGTTGAAGGCCACGGACATAATACTCAGCACGATGGCTGAGGTTTGGCTCTGCTGTTCACCCACAGCAGTATGTATTCTAAGTCTGTGCTCCGTGTTTATCATTGTCTACTACTTCTTTTTCATTTTCATTCTCCTCTGTTTTACCATGTTCGTTATCATGTCTAGGTTTCTCAAAGGCGGAGTCTTGTTTACTTCAATCTTCTCTGATCTACTATGTTCATTTTCATGTCTCAGTTTCTTAATTTGGGGGTCTTGTCTTTTCTCCTGTACATCAAGTTCAATGGACCCTTACGGCGCAGTAATGGTTCTTTCGGCGCAGTATTCCACTGGCCATCTCACATCTACTTCATGGTCATACCTCTTACCACAAAGACCACACTCATGATACCAGCACAAACAGAAATCAGAAATGAATGAATAAAAAAAAAGAGATAAAATTATGAACTCCGCTCTGTAACCATTTTCACATACAATAAATACACACACACATCTTGAACCCCACCCACAGCACCTCACCCCTCCCTGCCAAAGAGCACAAGGGTATAAACATGCCCGACAGGAAGAAGGCGGAGGGGCACATGCACACGTAGGAAAAAAGATACCCAAATACCCAGATCAAGGCTACCTCCGGACAAAGCGAGGGGCCCGCCGATACTTGCTCGTTGATTGAACAGCCAGCCTCCCTTTCCTTCTATTCTAACCGCGCCGGAGTCGCACGTTGCCCATGATTCAATGCAGAGCTAGTTGTCGGTTCCGCTATCGTCCGTCCACCCTATCCTTTCCATATCGCTATATCCGAGGTTGAGGTGAATTTACTCGTCATCGTAACCCTTCGGGAATGTGCGGGGACCGGCGGGGACTATCAATCGCAAGGCGCGAGCATGTCAGTATACACTACTAACTTTCCAAGACAAGCAGAGGGCCCAATTGAAGGATAGTAAATGGAAGCGGGGTGCAACATACTAGGATAAGACATAGGGATAGTCTCGGGGTCAACGTCACCCAAGGCACGTCTAAGCGGGGGCAAACCGACGAGAGCAACGGGGCCCATCGAGCCGATAATAAGGGAGTAGAAGATGGCGGGACGTTCGTGAGAAGCCCAGCGGAGGTAGCGGAGAGGCGTAGACCAGAACTGAGGCGTCGACATTGTTAAGGATTTTCTTTTCTTGTTCGTTGCGGAGGTGTTCGGGTGTGTGAGGCGGTAGCGGAACAGATATGATATAATCAATCTGCGGATGGAATCCTCTATGGGCAATTAAGACCGGGGATTAATTGAGCCTGCGGAGAGGTAGGGCAAATTGAAGTCGGGGGATTGCGACGCGGGCGAGGGGAAACGAATCGATGGAGGTTGATTGAAGGTGACGAAAGCCGCCAAAAGTGGATTTGCCGGGTCTTGGCGTTCGGTCCAAACACGTCGCCCGTTTGGGGGGTGTGTCTACGTATGTATCTACTACGTACTTCTTTCTTTTTGACGAGCTCTCATCGAACGACAAAACCATCATTCTTTTGTGGTTCGCTCGTCGGGATATTTTGTTTCTCAGTTTGTTCCCTCCGCTGTGCGGAAATTTAGCCACTCAATATGCGGTGGTCTCTTTCCTCCCTCTTTCTGTTTGGCTTCTTGGCTGTTGTACATGCGCTCAGTAGTTCGGGGAACCGTCTGCTCGTTGTTTTGGAGGATGGATCGGAGAAGGATCTTTACTCTACTTTCTGGAGTGATTTAGAAGGTATGTATCTGCAGGGCAGAAATTATAATTGAGTAGAATTGGGGTTGTGCTGATATATGCAATAGCTCGCGGATATGACCTCGTCTTCGAATCTCCTAAGAGTGACAAGCTCTCCCTCTTCGACCTGGGCGAGAGGGCTTATGACCACCTTCTTCTCCTGCCTCCTAGGTCCAAAGGTTAGCGGCGACTCATGATTCGGATGTTAGGCTACGGGGACACACAATTGACCGAGTGATCAGGATTTGGACCTTCTTTGAGCCCCAAGAACATCGTCGACTTCATGAACAAGGACGGTAACGTCCTCCTCGCGCTCTCGGGCAAGTCCACCACTCCCAGCGCCGTCAGCTCGCTGCTTCTGGAACTCGATCTCCACCTCGCTACCGACCGTTCGTCTGTCGTTGTCGACCACTTCAACTACGACACCCTGTCCGCGGCCGAAAAGCACGACGTCCTTCTCCTCCAGCGCCCCGGCCCATTGAGACCCGATACCAAGGCTTTCTTCAACGGAGAGGGTGTCCTGGCTTTGCCTAGGGCCGCTCCTCACACGCTCGGCGACCACGCGCTCATTGCGCCTATCCTGCGCGCTCCGGCCACTGCATACAGCTACAACCCCAAGGAAGACCTGTCCGCGGGAGAGGATGTCTGGGCCACCGGCTCTCAGCTGGCTCTCGTCTCCGCCATGCAGACCCGTGCCTCCTCTCGCTTCACCCTTCTCGGCTCCGTCGAGAGTCTCCAAGACAAGTGGTTCTCCGCGACCGTCAAGGCGCCCAACGGAAAGGAGACCGTCACGGCCAACCAGGACTTCGCCAAGCAGTTGACTGCCTGGACCTTCAAGGAGACCGGTGTCCTCAAGGTTGGCAAGATCGAGCACCACCTGGCTAAGGACGACCTTACTGCCGAGGACCTGAACCCCACCATCTACCGCATCAAGAACGAGACCGTATGTGCCTACTGACTAGTTCGCAACATAGCTGTCCACCCCTGCTGACGCGTCCCTATAGGTTTTTAGCATTGAGATCTCCGAGTACAGCCACGACCGGTACATCCCCTTCGAGGTGCCCGCCAACGATGCCCTGCAGCTCGAGTTCACCATGCTCTCCCCCTTCCACCGCCTGAAGCTGGAGCCCACCGCCCGCACCGAGAACAGCACCATCTACAGCACGCAGTTTACCGTCCCTGACCAGCACGGTATCTTCTCCTTCCGGGTCAACTACAAGCGCCCCTTCCTCACCAACATCGAGGAAAAGCACGAGGTGACTGTCCGTCACTTCGCCCACAACGAGTACCCCCGCAGCTGGAAGATCAGCGGAGGATGGGTCTGGATCGCCGGCCTGTGGTCTGTGATCGGCGGGTTCCTGGCCTTTGTGTTCGTGTGGCTCTACTCGGAGCCCGCCTCGGCCAAGGTCAAGAAGACCCAGTAAAGTAATGTATCATCTGAAAGATCAGTAAATGAAATCTGCTGCACAATGCACTTCTTAAGAAAGGACGACCCGAATCGTAGAAATGCCCAAGCCAGTCTGCATACAGACAGACCCATCCATTGCATATGTACAATCTAGTAGTATAGCATGATAGTAAAAGTACGTACCCATAACCCGACAATCATACACACTATCAGGGCACGGGCACATGAGCAAAATACTCCCATCAATCAATCAATCAACCAAACTCCAAGCCAAATGCCAGCGAATACAACAAAAGCACAGAGAACGTGATGTTACAGCGCGCAAGGGAAACTAATCTGTGTCACCCACAACACCAGATATAACTAACCACCCCCCACCTCACAGACCACGAGTCTTCTCCGGATCCATCTGCACCTCATCACCACTAATCTCCTTGACCGTCTCAAACGCCGGCTTGCCTGCATATAGTTGCTGGGACGTGCTGGAGCCGCCGCCTTCCGTCGTCGATACCGAGATGGGTTGGTTTCCGCGGAACCGCTTGCGCATGTCGATGAGGCCGCGCCTGATGATGAGGTATATTGTCAACTGACTGTGGGAGGGAAAGCTTTGAGAATGTATTTGGTAATGACTCACTTGCACTCGCTAAATCCCTTCCGCAATTGCTGGCATCGCATGGGAAGTTCGTCGACGTACGGCTCACTCAGACATTCGCGGGGCGAGCGCCGTTGCACCATGATGCAGTCTGATTCTTGAAGACATTGCGCCAGAGCGTTTCCTGTTTATTGAAGGTAAGAATGGTTAGAGGGTGTGTGGACCGGGTAGTATAGCTGAGATTGGGAGAAGGGACGACAATTGTGGTAGTAATGTCCGTTCGTGAATACGTTTCCGAACATCCAAGCCGCAATTTAAGAACATGGAGGAGAGATATAAGGATCCAACATACTGATCTCTTGGCAGGAACTCGGCATTCTGGGCGAAAATTAAAGGCAAGGCCCGGATTGCTCAGCCAAATAATAACGAGTTAGGAACAACACCGGTCTGCGGCGGCGGACAATCTGGAGATAATTTGCTGAAATCGGAAAACAAACTCAACCAAACGGGCGTTGCCCCGGATTAGGTAAGCCATCACATGAAGAAAGGGCCCCCATGACGTCTGGGGGCGTGTGGAACCTGACTTAGGTTGCTTGCTCGTTCCGCTTGATTTATCCTATCCTCTCTTCTTCCCATAGTCATGCGGTCTGAGTTTATGGAAGTATTGCTTCGGCGCATTATGGTTCATTACTACTACTGCTACTACCGGTGATAATTAATCTACGTGGTTGATTTGCAGACTTTCCCATCCCTTTGTGATAGTAGGAGGCTTGGTCTTATCGTCATGGCGCGCGTTCCGGTCATTGGACGGCTGTTTTGGTTCGAATATTTGGCTCTGTTTGGGTCGTTGATTCTGGTGCTGCTGGAATGGGTTATACATATTATTACGTTTTGTCTGCGTAAGTAGTGTGTTCGTTCTTTGGGGTGGTGGTGTAAAGGGGCAAGAAAGGCTAACTGGCGCAGCTGAACCTATCATTAGGTTCTGTTACGATCGATCCAAGAATATCTTCAACGCTTTCATTCCTCCGGATGACCCGGCCAAGCGCGGTAAAGAAGAGAAAGTGGCTGCGTCGGTTGCTCTGGCGTCGGATTTCACGGATATATGCGCGCTGTTTGGGTATGAAGCGGAGGAACATATCGTCCAGACGGGAGATGGCTATCTGCTTGGTCTGCACCGATTGCCCTATCGGAAGGGCGAGGAAGGGAGGAAAGTCAACCAGGGCGAAGGGAGCATTAAGAAGAAGGTCGTCTATCTCCACCATGGTCTCATGATGTGCAGTGAAGTCTGGGTCTGTCTTTCGGAGGAGCAGCGATGCCTTCCATTCCAATTGGTTGAAAGGGGCTATGACGTGTGGCTGGGAAATAACAGAGGAAACAAGTACTCGAAGAAGTCCGTCAAGCACTCGCCCTTGTCGAACGAGTTCTGGGACTTTTCGATCGATCAGTTCTCGTTCCATGATATCCCAGACAGCATCAAGTATATCCTAGAAGTGACAGGGCAGCCCTCCCTGTCATACGTGGGATTTTCGCAGGGAACGGCGCAGGCATTTGCGACGCTGTCCATTCATCCGTTGTTGAACCAGAAGATCGATGTCTTTGTGGCTCTGGCGCCGGCAATGGCCCCGACAGGCCTCCCCAATCATCTCGTGGATTCGCTCATGAAGGCTTCGCCGAACTTCCTGTTTCTGCTGTTTGGCAGACGCAGCATCCTTAGCTCGACGACGATGTGGCAGACGATTCTCTACCCACCTATCTTTGTTCGGATCATTGACACGTCACTTCGCGGCCTGTTCAATTGGAAGTGCAAGAATATCAGCCGCTGGCAGAAGCTGGCAGGGTACCTGCATCTGTTTTCCTTCACTAGCACCAAGTCGGTCGTCCATTGGTTCCAGATTATTCGACACCGGAATTTCCAGTTTTACGATGACGAAATCCATGCCCCGCTCAGTATTGTTGCCAGTGAGCGATTTTACAAGCCAGTCAAGTACCCGACTAAAAACATTAAGACGCCCATTGTCCTGTTGTATGGCGGTAGCGATAGTCTCGTTGATATCAACGTGATGTTGTCCGAGCTTCCCCGGGGGACCGTGGCGAAGGAATTCCCGCAGTATGAGCACTTAGATTTCTTGTGGGCGCGTGATGTGGACCAATTGGTATTCAGCCATGTCTTCGAAGCGCTGGAGCGGTACAGCTCCGAGAATCAGAAAGGGACATTAATGGAGAAGGTTAATGGTGCCGCGGGCACATATGTACCGGCATGAAGTACGAGGTTCTGCACCAATGAAGACACGCATAATCTAGAAGGAGATTCATACCCACCATCGCCAAGTTTGACAGCTTGCGTGTTTCGACTTGCGGATCTGACTGTCTCAGCAGATCGCGATACGAGAGACAAAGATCATTGTTCGCCTTACTTTGTATAATTTTTTGCCTATAAAGATGTTTGTTTAGCCTTGATTGTTTTTCTGTACAGCACACACACTATATCAGCGTCTAATATAACATCAACACCGCCAAACACCCCACAAAAACATTGCGAAGCAACGCAGTCCGGATGCCTCGAAGCTGGCAGACCTCCAATGACCTTCATGGGCACTTCAATACTACTTCGTTGCCTAGATAGATCCATGATAGATCGGCTCCCGACCCCTTCAGTGACATACGTCATATGTATCAAGCAGCAGCGCATTTCTTCAGATCCATATGCAGGGAGATGGTCCCAGTGTCGGGTCTGGTCTTGCTCTTCCCGTCCCCGACGCCTCACATCCACATGTGATGCATAGACCAACGCGTCCCCCATCACATCTGCACTTCTAGCAACCAAGCACGACCCAAACCAATGTTTGTGCAGCTCGTCCCCCCCAAAAAAAATAATAATTCCAATGTGACACATCAGCTTGGCTTTCAATCATGCTGATACAACCACCAAGTACCAGTACCAGTACCATCCTCCCCCCTCCCTCCCCGGTCAGGTGGTTTATGAGGATGGGGATGGTCTGATACCCTAGCGCACCATCAATGCGCGTGCACATCGGTCCAATATAGATTACAGATTATAATAAATTAATGATAGGCACACAGACAGCCTGGCATCCGGAAGTTGGGGACCGGAAGTCCGGTGCGGTGGTCCGTACTTTTTATCTTGCCGTGGCCTCGATTGATTTAGTCAGGACTTAACAATCCAATCCAGTCTACCAAGTGGTCTTAATTTCTAGTGCTGATGAGCAACGAAAGTGCCTCCCGCTTAGTTTCGGGGGTGCTTCCGTCCCTGGCAGACTAAAGTTGAGTTGGGTTGAGTTGGCGTCGGAATCTGCTTCCGGTTCCTGGAATCGGGCACATCCCGATGTCCTTTTGTTTTCTTCTTCTTCCTTTCTTCTCCTTCTTCCATTTTTGACTTTTAGGAAGGGGATGTCTGGTTATTGGCTTGGGTCGCTGCTGACAGGTAATTTTTGGGGCTTAGATGAATAACCTGCATGGCATCGTATGGGAAGGGGGGTTTGTTTTTCTGTGATAATGATGATGGAGAGAGAGAGAGAGATTATTGCCATGAGAGGGGAAGAAGAAGATCGATCATTATGCTTGTCCTCGGGGCAAGACGGATGTGGGTTTTGGGACTTTTGTGAGTGATGTTCATGAGGTCTCTCCTGTAGATAGAGAGACTCACAACAGAGAGAGAGATGGTGTACTCTGTACTCTGTACTATTGCTAGTTCCTGGTTAGATAGTAGCACACTCAGTTAATATTTATTGATCAGTAGTCGCCATGGCCTGTCCTGCCTGTCCGGCGTCTATCTATCTATCTGCCTTTATTTTTTATTCTCGTCCTTGCAGCGGCTAACTAGCCTTGATGATTTCCCCGTTTCCCTGTTTCTGAGACATTGCTAGGTATCTAGTAGCAATTGGAGCCCGGCTGAGTGCATGTGAAGCTGAGTGAGTGTGGGAGAGTGTGTTGGCGCTGAAGAATTCGAGGTAAGGTAAGAGGGAATAATCCAGTTTCAGCTCCCATCATCCATCCTGTCATCCCCATCATTCTCCATCGATCAATCAATCAATGATCCTTTCCTCCAACCACCACATCCACTCTCCCAATTCTATTCATCCACACACCTCCCTCTCTTCCCACCCCTTCAAACATGCCACATTCTTCTCATCTGCGAGGCTCTGCTGAGCTCATCAGGGCTGCAGATCTCGGGGGGCGGCAAAGAAAGATGACTACTGTATGAGAAGAAGAGGAAGAAGAAGAAGAATAATCCACCGGATCAGGGGATAAGGGAGGGAGCGAGATTCAATTATTGGCCAAGCCATGCCGCGCCCGCCCCCTTCTTGAGTGAGGATGGATGGATGGATGCGCTGGGCTTTCTGCCCCCATCCGCTGTGATCATTCTCTACGGTCTACGGTTTCCTGCCGATTCGGAGATAGATGGAGGAGAGGGGGGGCGAAGGAGCAGGGAATTGATGGAAAGAGAATGAGAATGAGAGAGGGGAAGAGAGAGAGAGAAAGGGTGAGAGAGAGGCTGATACGATCTGATCTCAGACTCGAGAAATAGAATGATGGTGTTGTTTCTCTTTCTGCCCCCCTCCCTCCCTTCTATCTCTCTTTCTCTTTTCTCTTTCTCTGCCCTCGAAAGTGATGCCCGTCAAGATGGGGGTCAACTACTTCCCTCTCTAGCTTATAACACCACAGCCAGCACCTTGCTCTTGCTCTACTATCTACTTGTTTCTTTTCGTTCTGGATCATCGGGACCCAAGCAATCAATCAACCAGAACCTTTCCCCATCGCCAGCTGCTAACTAACCTCGACTGTACTAGGGGCTTAAGGTTTCCTGAGTCGGCCGCACAACAAATCGCCGTTCGATTCGAGGCTCACCGCCGCAATTTGGGAAGAGAGTCCCTGCCGTGCCTTTACTTTTTTTGACTTTTTTTTTGCTTTTCCCTCTCGTGCAGTTCTTCAACGGGGGTCTTCAGGGATTAGGAAAAAGACGAAACCGAGAAAAGAAATATTTCAGAAACAGCAATTGATTCGATCGTCTCTCCGTTAGGCCGTTATTGCATCATATCATCATCTGTTGTGCTTGTCGGTAAGCCAAATTCGACGTTCTTCTCTGTTGCGCTCTTCTTCAATGGAACTTACCGATCCTTTTCCTGTCCTCCCCACAAACCGAACCAGTCCGTGTTCGCTGACTTAGCCTCTGCTACTGCTCCTCTGCTACTGCTCTGCTCTGCTCTGCTCTGCTTGTCTGGCTCTCACTCAATCACTCACTCATCCTCTCTCTCTTCCTTTAGTAAACTACTAGTGCCTTTCCTCTCCCCCGAAAGTCACCGACCGATCTGTTCAACAGCAGCTATCCTTCCCTACCTTCCCTCCTTTCCTCTGCTCTCCACCTTCACTCCCGCGGCCTTGCTTCAGACCGTCCCTTCCTCTGGCGCTTCCATCCTGCCAGCTCCCGGGGAATTGGTCGGGA